TTGTTTTTGGTTTTGGAGGGATTATTATTAGGCGTGTGGAGTAAGGAAACTTGCCCAAGGTTTCGCTCTGCCTGGAATTGAACTCAGGTCTCTTACTTGCAAAGCAAGTGCTCTAACCACTGAGCTACAGGACTCCACATATACATTTATGTAGCATCTTTCAACAACAACTTACATTTGGATGACATCTTTCACGTCGGGAGGATGTCCCAAGGTGCTTGGCAATGCTCGATGGGTACCCGAGTGGGGGGTGGTAGCCGAGTCGGGTGGGGAGGGATAAAATAACCCAAAGAGCGGTTAGTCAATTGCAATAACTTTTACCTGGATAGAGTAATTGGGACATTTAACAGCTCCGAACTTTCAATTTGATTGTAAGTGAGAAGGTTACAAGAATGCCTTCTCATCATCAGAAGTGAAATCAACCACTGTGCAGTAACAGCAGAAGCACATAAGTGGATAATGCTACACTGGGTGGCAATGCCAATAAAAATCTAAGTGTATCCTTTGGGGGACAGAGAGGTAGGAAAGAATGGAGGTGATGGACACTCAGAACCTAGTGCAGGAGTCATTCCAATTGTTTCAATTAGTATGCAAGGGACCTTTTAAAATAGAGTACCAAAGGTGCATTACTTACCCTTAAAGCTACTTTAAGGATTAAGGAAACATGTTGCAGCATCATTATGGCTTTTGAAATTTAAAAGAATTAGGATTGTTATCCACTTCCACAGTTCAGATTACCATTTCGAGTTTTATTGGGTGAGAATGACTGCAAAATTGGGATCAGTCTGAAAACAAATACTTATGTGAATTGCGTCCAGAAGACACTTTCTGTGCAACAGTACCACCTAATGGACAATTCTGAAGTTGTTGACAAACTCTCAAACATGCCAAGAATCAGATGAAGTCCATTTTTAAATTGTATTCCTACCAAGTAAGATTAAAATTGATTGAATTTTTTAAATCAAAGTACACTTCTGGATTCACCACAATATACAAAACTTAATTGCCAACAGAATGTAAAAAATCCCAAACAAGGTACAGCATCTGTGAATGATCCTCAGATCACAAATATTTTTTTTACACACAGAACTTCTGTTATTTACAAATCATCAAAATAAACAAGTTTCTTACAGAACTTTCCAACATGTAAAAGACTCTTATTACACGGGGAAATATTTATCATTAAGGACAATATATAAATATCAAAATTGAGAATTATTAACTATAATAAACTGTAGCAAGGTTATTGGAACATCACTATTCATGGATGCAGCCAACACCTCACCAGTAAGGAACCTTGGTGTCTTGCTCGACCCTCAACTGTCATTTAAATCCAGTCTGCCAAGATCACCCCCATCCTCGCCCGGCTTCACTGACTCCCCAGAAGATCAAGTTTAAGATCCTCGTCCTCACTTTTAAAGCCCTACACGGTCTTGCTTCTCCTTACCTCTGCGACCTATTAAAGTGTGACCAACCTGCTCACTCCCTCTGCTTGGTGGGCACTGCCACATCCTCTGCCTGCTCCATGTCTGCTGCCTGCTCCACCATCGGTGTTCGGGCCTTCAACCTTTCTGCCCCCACCCTCTGGAACTTCAGCCTGGAATCCCTCCACCTTTCCCCCTCCATTCATGTCATGACCCGTTCCACCTTTCCCACCTCCGCAACATTGCTCACCTCCGCCACTGCCTCCCACCCCAGGCCGAAACACCCTGATCCACACTTTCATCATGTCCCAGCAGGACTACGCCAACTGCCTGCTCACTGGACGCTTCCCTCCACAAGATGCAGAGTACTTAGAACTCTGCAGCTCATGTCCTCTCCTGCACCAGTCTCTGGGAACCTATCACCTCTGTTCTTGCCCTGCTTCACTGGCTCCCCATTCCTCAGAGAATCGAATACAAAACCCTCGTTCTCATCTTGAAATCCCTCCACGGTCTTGCTTCCCCTCCACATCTCTGACCTCCTAACTCCATATAAGCCTGTCCGCTCCCTCCACTCGGCAGACACCGGCTTGCTCCAGGTCCCAAACCCGGCCCGCCCCACTATTAGTGGTCAGGCATTCAGTATCTCTACCTCCACACTCTGGAACTCTATCCCACAATCCCTCCACCTCACCCCCAATCATGCCTCCAAGTCCCATCTGAAGACCTTCCTCTTCGCCTGTGCCTTCGGCCACCCTCCCACCCGCAATCACTCTGCTCTCCAACCCTCCTGACCCCAACTACTAGCTCGGGTCCAGAAACCCTGTGACATCTTTCCGACGTGAATGGCACTGTACAAGTGTGATTTGTTGTTGAAGGTCCGTCTGAAGTCCTTCCTCTTTGACTGTGCCTTCGGTCATCTTCCCACACCATCCTTCCTGGCCCTCCATCCCTCTTGATTCCAACCCCCAGCTTGGGTACAAACACTTCACTGATGTGTAAGGCGCTATATAAATGCAATTTTTTGTTATTGCTAAATTAATCCAGGAAAAACTAAAGAAAGAAATTTTAAATTCAGATTTATATTTTGAGATTTTTCTTTTTAAATCTTCAACAATCATATTCTCTTACAATGGCATTTCTTAGGGAAAAATCAGACAAATAAGCTCAGTGGTTACAGCACTCGCCTCGCAAGCGAGAGTGCTGGGTTTGATTCCTGGCAGGGAAATAAAAAAAATTGATCATTTCAATCCACAATTGTTTGTGGGACACTGCTGTGCACAATTGGCTGTTGTGTTTTGCCCAGAAATATATGATCAATTCGCTTTACAGTATATTCTATGAAGCACTTTGAGACGTCTAGAAGACGTGAAAAGCGCTATATCAAATGCAAGGATTATTATTATAATTTGCTTTATCTAAAGTCTTTGCACCTCCTGGTGGCCAAACCTTGAACTGCCATCATGCTGTTTCACCAAAGGAACACAATTCTTAAGTTTTTACATATCAAATTAAAAACTGTGCAAAAAATGCACAATAATTGTTTCGACAACACACAGTATCTACAGGAGAACAAATCTTCCGAATACCACTTTTTCAGAGTTTTCAGAGCAGTCGGCTTCTGGAACAGAGACTGCTGATAAAGTCTAGATTTATAGTCACAATCTCTTAGCTGAACAACATAAGATTACATTTGTATAGCGCCTTTCACATCAGGAGGACGTCCAAAGCACTGGACAATGTACAGCATTTCAGACCCAACTGGGTTCAGGTGGGGGGGGGGGAGAAGGGAGGGGAGGTGGCCGATGGCAAGGTCAAAGAGGAGGGTTTTGAGGCAGGACTTGAAGGAGGCTAAGGAAGGGGCGAGGAGTGATGGGTGGGGCAGGTGGGTCGGGGAACATGGAGCAGGCTGGCGCCAGCTGAGCAGAGGGAGCGGGCTAGTTGGTAGGGGTTTAGGAGGTCATAGAGTAGGGTGGGGTAAGGCTATGGAGGGCTTTGTAGGTGAGGACCAGGATCTTGAACTGGATTCTCTGAAGGATAGGGACCAATGGAGTCGGACGAGAGTGGGGTCACGGAGTTTGGTGCGGGAGAGTTCTGGATTATCTGCAGCCTGTGGAGGGAGGAGTTGGGAAGGCCGACAAGCAGGGTGTTTGCATAGTTGAGCCTGGAAGTGATGAAGGCATGAACAAGAGTTTCAGCGGCCTGAGGGGTGAGGTAGTGGAGGAGTCGAGTAATGTTACGGAGGTGAGGGAAGGCAGAGTGGGTCATAATAATAATCCTTGCATTTGGTATAGCGCTTTTCACGTCGGGAGGACGTCCCAAAGCGCTTCACAGAACACACTGTAAAGTGAATTGACTGTATATTTGTGGGCGAACGCGGCAGCCAATTGCGCACAGCAATGTCCCACAAACAGTCGTAGATTGAAAATGACCAATTTATTATTGTTTTGTTTTGGAGGGATTATTATTAGGCGTGTGGAGTAAGGAAACTTGCCCAAGGTTTCGCCCTGTCTGGAATTGAACTCAGGTCTCTCACTTGCAAAGCGAGTGCTCTAACCACTCAGCTACAGGACTCCACATCATGGCTTGGATGTGGGTGAGAAAAGACAGTTGAGGGTCGAACAAGACACCCAGGTTCCTGACTGGCGGTGAGTTGTAGTGTGCAACCATGGAGGTTGATGCTGCCAGAGCCTGAGGTGCAGAGGCACTGGCGCGAGCCAATCAGGAGGGCCTCAGTCTTGTTCACATTCAACTGTAGCAAATTTGCCCTCATCCAGGACTTGATGTCCGACAGGCAGTCTGTCAGGACAGCAATGGTCCTGGAATTGAAGGTGGAGGCAGAAAGATAAGAGTTGGGTGTCATCCGCATACATATGGAAGTTGACCCCATGTCTGCGGATGATGTCACCAAGGGGGAGCATGTAGATATTAAAGATGAGGGCCAAGGACGGAGCCCTGGGGGATGCCAGATGTGACAGTGCGGGGACTGGAGGAGAAACCGTTAGAGGCAACAAAGTGGAGAGGGTGAGATAGGAATCAAACCAGGCAAGGGTAGGTCTGCGAAGATTAAGTAAAGCAGAGAGGCGGTGTATGAGAGTGGAGTGGTCGACAGTGTCGAAGGCGGCAGAGAGGTCGAGGAGGACAAGGAGGCAGAGAGATCCCTGATCACAGATGTTCAGAACATCATTAGTGACTTTGACCAGGGCTGTTTCAGCGCGGAAACCGGATTGGAGGGGTTCAAAGAGGGAATGGCGAGAGAGAAAGGAGTGGAGCTGGGACGCAACAACTCGTTCCAGGACCTTGGAGAGGAATGGGATGTTAGAGATGGGCGATAGCTGGAGGGATGGATCCAGGGAGGTTTTTTCAGGATGAGGGTGATGATGGCTGTTTTTAGGGGGGTGGGAACTGAACCGGTGGACAAGGAGAGGTTGATGACATCAGACAGGAGAGGGGCCAGAAGGTGGACCTGGGAGATGAGGAGAGAGGTGGGGATGGGATTGAGGAAGCAGGTGGTGGGTTTGAGTTTGTGAAGATGTGCATGTGCAATATGTGCTGTGATGGAAATAGTCAACAAAAATGTTTAGAAAGAATTTTGTTTCTTTATTTGAATGGTGCAAGGCATTAAATACACCATTTTGATCATTGGATTATTTGGTTTAAATCAAAAATGAGGCTCTAGAACTACAATACTGGTCCAACAGTCTTTTGCAGCAAAAAACGGAAGAAAATGCATTCAATAATCAGAAAGCACTAGCAGGCATCTGTTAGTTTAATTAAGTAAGAAACAGTTTTAGTTCCTGAAGCACTTGCGGAGTGGCCACATTTGATATTAGGAACACAGTTCATCATTCTTTTGGGAACAGATGATCAAAGCCACACGACTTATAAATTTTTGGAAACTAGGTTTGTTAAGAATTCTTTAGGCTTTTCTGAGAAGATACTTCTAGTAGAAGAGTATAGGGTATGACTCAGTGAGATATGCAAATAAGAATTCCAAATACAAGAAAGCTTAAAATTGCTGGAATTCCTGTCCCTCTGCTGAAAAATTGTCACTATTTAGCAGGCGAAGTATGTCGCTCTCCAGGGAACTTGGTATTTTTCTTCCTCAAATATAGAATTTCAACAAGTTACACTTTTCAGTCAAATACTCAATCAAAAGCAAATGGAGCAGCTTAACTGCTTTTTCTAGTTTGTTTCACTTAATCACAAGTTTACAGAAATCCATTCTCTTATTTCATGTTTGGATATTGCTCACTGATATGCACATTATTTGCTGACTAGTATATCTCCATACTCTTACTAGATTTTTTTGTCATTTGTTAATTATTTTACTTTATGACATAGATAACCTAATTCTCTCATTTTTCCCCACTTGATGTATAAAAAAATCAGTAAGAAATATAAACAAGCTCTTGTATTATACCCATTCAAGAGTACAATTCAAGTACAATAGAGCTGACCTTCAAAACCCTTTCAATTCCTGTCAGTCTTGGATTTCCCACGAAAAATGCCTCATCTTAGGGCAGAGTTTGGTCTAAAACCATTATAGAATTCTCTTATAAACTAGTCCAAAATGTTTAATATAAAGAAAAAAATATTTTCACTTAGTACAATTTAAATCAATTCAAGACCCTGAATGTTTTAAATTTGCAGGCCTCATTCTGTTTGGTCATCTGTTTTTTTTTTAAAAAGTCAAGCCATTTTATTAATGCAACACCACCCATCCAGACATAACAGGCCCCCAAAAGTAAGGATCCCCCCCTCAGCCCTTACAATATTGAGAGATCAGCCTTAAGACATAACTCCAAATACAGGGTTGTGGCGACAAATGCTGGGGCCAATCTCCTCGTAATCTTTTTTGGTGTGGCATACCTGGTAGAACTCCGGCTATAAAGACAAGAACAGTATGTTAGTTTTAAATTACACAGAATAGTGTATATAGTATTTTTCCCTCAAGTTCAGGATTGGTATCAATATCCAATACATTTCATGGGTTACTGGACCTAAATATAAAACCACCTCTTTCTTAATCGCTGCCTCCCCCATCACAAACAGACTGATTTAAATGCTAAGGATCCTTATGGACATTGAAATGTGATTTTCGACAAATTCTGGATAAGGAATAATAAACTTATGCCCAAATATTGCAACAAAAAAATTAGCTATGTGATTGCTGCTGCTTTACTTAGTTAACAACCGACTACTGTATTAGCCTTGATGGAATAAAGTTGAGAAAGGTAAGCTTCATGTTCATATGCTACTATAAAAACAGATTTCCTTATGTGGCTAAAAGCTTACTTCAATCCCCCTGTTGTTTCTCATGCTTCAATAATTCTTGGAAACATTATACAACTATAAATGTTCTTCAAAAAGTACTGAAGTGCACTCACGGTAGAAGCCAACATAGAACCTCCAAACCAAACAGCATATCGCTGCATGTGGTGTGTGATGACCTGGACATCTATTGGTTTGGGCTGAAAATAGAATCAAAACAGCAGTTTAAATACAAACCTGAAACTTGCAAAGACAGTCAAAATTGAGAACTTAATCTATTGTACAGAATCCATTCCTCAATTATAAACAAAGCAGATTCTAATTTGTAATCAGAAAAATAAACTTTACATAGAAACTGGTGGAAATTAATATTATTATACTGGATTCAGAATATGACAAGATTATAGATTCTAAAACATAGAATTCTCATTCATATTTTACTACAGGGAAAAACAATTGAATACCCAGTGCAGTACATTCCGTGACGGCTCCAGTACACCAAGGATTCAGATGTAAAAATATCACATTGAACCATTAACTTGCCACTTCTGGTAACAAAATAAATATTTGCAAGGAGCTGCCACCTCTGACCTACAGCCATAAGTGCAGCAGGACTCTGACATTATGGCCGAAACAGCAGCCACACCACAACACACCCAGTGAGAACATAAGGAAGCATTCCCTCTAGCTTGAGGGAGCATCTTGATATTGAAAGCCAAAGCCTTCTTGATTAACACATTTCATAGAATTATACAGCACAGAAGGAGGCCATTCTGCCCATTGTGTCTGTGCCGGCTCTTTGAAAAGAGCTATCCAATTCATTCCCACTCCCCCGCGCTCTCCCCATAGCCCTGCAAACTTGTCCTCCCCAAATAATTATTTACTTCTCTCTTAAAAGCGGTTATCGAATTGGCATCCACTACTCTTTCAGGCAATGCATTCCAGATCCCAACAATTGGGTGAGTGAAAAAAAATTCTCCTCACCTCCTGTTTCTTTCAAGAACTATTTTAAATTTGTTGGAAAAAAAACTCACTGGCAAAGCTGCTATAAAGTTAATTAACGCAAATAAACACAAGTTTTTTTTTAATACACTTGTAGATTAATCATCATTCACATAACTATCATTTTTGAAAGAGAAATGTACCTTTAGCTTTCCACCACTCAGTTCTTCACTGAGTTTAAGCCTGGCATCTACTGTCCTCTTCAAGTCTCGCTGTAAGCGACGGCCAAAATCTCGGAACATAGTTGAGCCACCCGAAAGGACAACGTTCTGCAAAACACAACCATACACTTCACATTGTATATGTAGGAACACTCCTGAATACGAACATTTACCACAAAGCTATTCTGCATCAATATCCAATACTGAGTTTTAATTATAAATTGATCAATCTCAAATTAATAAAAAGGTCAACTGTTTGGGGCAGTTCCTGTTAGAATTATAAAGTCAGGACACAGAGATAGAACAGATTGGGGATGGATATTGAAAATTACAATTTCTGAAACTTTTGAAGATTTAAGGATAGTAAAGATTCAGAGATCTGAAACCTGAAGAAAGTCACATCTGAAAGAAAAAGTGCAATGAAAGGCTAAAGAAAAAAAAAGTTCATGGCACATACAGACATTCTTCACCATGCAAGACAACCACACATCTTTATCTGCAGCAAATAACTAAACATTTGTTTAAGTAATTTATAATTAGTTGTTTTCAGTGGACATGTTCACTAGAACCTGGACTAAAATTAGGCAGAATCATTCTGATGAGACTTTTTGCTGATAGGAAACCTTCATCTTGAGTTAGATTCAGAAATCAATTTTGAGATGAAGTATTTTAATTGAATACCACATCCATTCATGACAATTAGTTCAAGAAAATCTGTAAAAATATGGGCAGATAAGAGCACATTGATACCCAGTATAAGTCTTCAATTTATAGAGACGTTTTCCAACATTCCAACTTCCGTTCTCTCCCTGGTGAATGTTCTCCCATTGCAGTGGCTGGAGCTGGTGGTTGGAGGGTACGCAGCGCACAGATAGAGGGGGAGGGGGCAAGAGAGAGAGTGATTGAGAGTGTGTGAGAGGGGGTGAGAAGAGAATGATTGAGAGGGGGAACAGTGTGTGTGTGTGTGTGTGTGTGTGTGTGTGTGTGTGTGTGTGTGTGTCTGTGTGTGTAAGAGTTTGATTAAGGTGAGAGAGGAGAAAGAATGTGAGGGAAACGGGGAGAGAAAGAAACAGAGATAGGGAGAGTAGAGGGTGATTGAAAGTGTGAGGGTTCGAGGGAGAAATTGAGGGAGTGGTGTGAGAGATAAGGAGAGTGATTGAGAGAGCGAGAGAGAGAGAACGCGAGATAGAGAGAGAGATCGCGCATGCACAAATGAGGGGGTGAGAGAGAAACAAAAAGAGCAAAGAGGAGGAGTGAGGGCAGCGTTTTGTGGTTCACTGTCTCCTTTGAGAAAGAGACACACACACACCCCAAGAGACGTGATGTGCAGTTTTCTCACAGAAAGCTCCCTCTTTCCTCAAGTGAAAAGCTTCTTTACGTCCTTCATCTCTCAGCAGTTCAGCCTCCCAAACCACTCATTCCCTTTGCCAGCAAACACCGTTTTTGCTTTGTCCTTCCAACATGAAAAAGGTCCTGTGTAAATGTTTCTGGGAAACACAGAATATTGCTTATGCAGCCCGTGGACCTTTCTTGAAATAGGGAATCTGGCCACTGGCAACCAAACAGTTGGACCACTATGGCATAAGTCAGACATTCACCCAAGTTCCATTCAGTTTCTTATCAAAACCACTTATATTCTTTACACTACTCGTATTAATCAGTTCCTAAATTGTAGCGCTGCTCCCATATCCTCCATTACTGTAAAAATATGGGCAGATTACTCCCGCACTTACCAGCTGCATTGAATTATATATGCGCAGTGATTATCGATTAAATCGGATTTTATACAACTTACTTTGCAACTCGGACTTAGCGAAAGTCATTAAATGTTAGTGTCCCAACTAATGTGAGTTTTACTATATTACATGATTCTGTAGTCATCATAAAAATAACCAATTTAAATTTCTGTACCATCTTGAAGAGTTGAACACTATACATATGCATTTGGATTGTAAAATAAGGTTCACTAACCTTATAAAGTGGACGTCTGACATCAATGGGACAGTTCTGAATGACTTCATCTACTACTTCTGAGATAGGCTGTGTGAAATCAGGATTTGCAAACTGGATGGAGGGAAGGAGGAAGAAAACCATTATGTTAGGATTAATTGTTGATCATCTTGAAGCCAAGAGCTCATGCGTAGTACTTTTACTACATGATTTTAAAACTTATTGCAAAGTAAAAGTGTTTTTGTAAAAACTAAAGTTACCTCTGGGTGAAAGAAGATTTCTGGACCCAAGAATCTCTCATACCCTACATCAATGGTGAATTCTTTCTTGGAGATAGCATTAGTTCCAGTGTACTGTTTGATCCACTTTGCACTATCTGTATCATATTTGCTGAACTCTTTCACTAAGTCGGGACAGACATAGCTGAAGCGCTCCTGTGGTTCAACATTAAGCAGAAATAAATTGATACAATAATAACAAGCACAATGAAGCGCAAACATTTGCAAATGCATTAGGAAAACAATCACAATTAGCATACATATTACAGTAAATATTTAGTTAATTGTGTAATCCTAATACCGTTTGAAGATTGGAATTCAAAGTGACGAAAGACATAATGGAAGCAACTCCCTAAACCAACCACCCAGATGGACAAATCAATGAGTCCCCTCTCCATTTTCGGGGGGTGGTTGATGCTTAGAATGCCTGAACACTCTCTAAAATATAATGGCTCCCATGTAGCTCCATTCAACATTTGAATAGGATGCTAAACCAGATTGTACGGACCAGTTGTGCAGTAGGCATACAAATCCCATTTGTCCCTGTAGACAATGCTGAACTTAAATTGTTCAATCCACCTTATATACAGGATAAAGTGAAAATATTCTAGTTTCCAAATCCCATACTATTTCATACTGGAATCTGAACAATTGTAAAATATAAATTCGGCAGCCATTTGACAGATGTCAAAGTGGTAGTAGTAATGACAGAATTGATTGGATACTGAGAAGTTTATTTTGGCTGTGCTGATACATTTCCAATTTCATAGATGACAGATTTTAAAATCAGTAATTATACTGTACCTTAACAGCCTTTGCAGTTTCCAGGGATTGTTCTGGAGGTATCCCCACCTCCCGATCTCTCAGAAGTTGCTGAATGAAGTATGTAATATCACGGCCAGCAATCGGAATGTGTTTAATGCAGCTGCCAATCACATATCCTTCAGCCTTATGGAAAAACAATAGTTTTTAATCTTGTAATCTGAGTACTTGCGGTGGGGAGAGAGGGAACATCCTAGAACCCAACAGAAAGTTTGTTTCAATGAAGATCAACATTTATTGAAACTGACTGCAATCGAACCCAGCCTCTATAACGTTGATTAACAGAGTAGATATTTAGATTGGTGCCTACAGTTTTCTTTTATAAAATTAGTTTAGCATAAGTATAGGTGCTAAATTATCTAGATACTGAAAAGATGTGGCTCATGGCAGTGAACATAAAACAACTGTTGCTAAATTAATCTGAATCAACAATTCTGCAATACCAATTATCACCCACTATTAACAGAGGAGCTTTACATTGAAATATTACATTTGAATATTTGACTTTAATATGGGATTTATTAGTCCTTAAGTGACATTATCTAATTCAGTTTGCTTAAATTGTAATTTGGACGGTTTTGAGCTTCAGAGTAGCACACATTAAATATGTAATTCTGTGTAACTCAAAAACAATATGCATATCAAATTGAATTTGTATTTCTATTAAAAGACAAATTATACTTGCCCCATCAAAGAATGAAAAAGATCGAATAAAGCCTATGATCAGGTATTTTGCCAGTCGTTTCAAATCTTGCAACAATAAATTTCCATGTAGAACAATTAAAAGAAAAAAAACATTGCAGAAAGCGATCCAGAATTAGCTAATTTAGATGCATCAGAATAAGTACAGCTCAGTCATTATCAAAGGAGTTCCTTTTCTTGCAATTTTCCTTTAAAGTGGAAGCATTTACTTTGGCTTTAAAGTCAAGTGAATTATGGAAAGATAGATGTATCTGGACAGATTTTCCTGAGATCAACTGCCCTTTAAACTATAGGAAAGTACATCAGTTTCACTGCAAAAAACAGCTCAGAGTGATTTGAAGAATTCCAAAATGGTTTCCTGTCTTCTTAGCAGTAGGACAGGGATGAATAGGGATTATAATAGTTACTGGATTCTAACACTTCTGATCATGTTTTACAATTACAATATGCACAAATCAAGTAAATTCTGCATTGTTCCCGACGTGAAAAGTGCTATACAAATGTAATCATATTATTGTTGTTCATACTTAAAATTCTAATCATTAGCAATGTAATACTATTTATAAGTTGCCAATCACCTATTTATAAGTAGGTGGCTATTGACTTGAATATTTGCTCAGTTTCATTATTAAGGATAGTCAGTGATTTAATTTTTAACTCTTGGAACCAGCATTCAAAAGGGTAGGGATGCTTATTCGAGCTTTGGGCAGGAGATGATGGTAATGTTTTTGTGAATGTCAAGCCAAGTTGTGCTGCTCACAAACTATTACTCTCTTGACTTTTATTGAATTATTTCATCAACTCCTTTCTGAAGCTCCAAACAGCCTTCCAAAATAGCTTTCTTTACTTGAAGCAGACAGAATGCAATAATGTACTATGAAGACATTTCCCCCATACCATGTTGACTCCACATCAGAATAACTGATTTTAATCAGTGATGCAGTTGAATACAACAACAACAACAACAACAAGATTCCATTTATAGAGCGCCTTTCACGTCAGGAGGACTTCCCAAGGCGCTGCACAGTTGGGTCATGACCCGAGCAGGGGGGAAATGGTCAGGGTGAGGGAAGGGAGGAGAGCAAGGAGGGGGGAAATGGTCAGGGTGAGGGGAGGGAAGGGAGGGAGCGAGGAGGAGGAAGAGAGTCGAGAGGGGAGCTGAAGGCACGGTCAAAGAGAAAGGTTTGCACTCAGCCTCAGCCTTCACGTGCATTAACAAATAATAAAGGCTTTTTGAAATAATCACAATTCCCAAGTCTATAACCCAATAAGTCCAACAAAACATGAACTTTCTGTGCTGTAGAGAAGATGCACTGAAAGATTAATATCGTTCCATCACACCTAATTTGGCTCATGTAAATTAACGTTGACAGGTTGAAGAAGTTCTGTAAACAAAAATGAAATCTAGAAGCTTGAAAATTGACAAGTCAGGAACATTAAAATTATTCATAAGTGATAAAATTTACCTTCCCACTGAAGCAAAGACAAGCAGTTGAAGAGTATACTTCTATTCAAAAATAATTCCAGACTATATTTTCCTGCACAGGCACAACCTTTCACATTCTCTAAAACACATTTTTATGATTACTTTGTTAAAAAAAACTAGTTAACATTTGAAATTACGACAGTCCATATCCTTTGAGCACATTGCGAGATCGACATAATAAGGCTTTATGAAAGGTTCTTTGTAGCTATCAGCTTCAAGAGAATTTGAAGACAAAACACTTACCACTGGAATGACATGAGTAACACCATCCCCACTGTCTATAACCGTTCCAGTCAGTGTTCGTTCTCCAACTTGTCGAGATGTCCATGAAGCAGCTAAGGCAAGAACAGCCTAAACAGATAAGCAAATTAGGTATTAAAGTTAGCACTTAACTCCAAACAATGGCAATAATATTTGTGCCAACTAAAATAAAGGTATTTGTATTCTGTAGCAAACAGCCTGCCAGGGAGTACTGTTGCCTCGGATTCAGAAGATTGTGGGTGCAAGCCCCATTTCAGGACTTGAAATCACAGTCTAAGATGATGCTCCAATGCGGGTGTGTTACATTGTCAAAGGTGCCATCCTTCTGGTGAGAAGTTAAAAACCGAGGTCCCATCTGCCTGTTCAGGTGGACGATAAAGATTCCCATGGCACTATTCGAAAACTCCGTGTCCTAGCCAACAAATCCCCCAAATGAAGTGCTTTGAGATGCCTTGACAATGTGATAAGGTGCAATATCAAATGCAAGGATTATTTTTATTAAATTGTATTGAACAACAGAAGTGGAATTCTGTGAGGGTCTCAAACTTTATACTCTTGCCTAAAGATGGGATTTATAGGACATTGATCCAAAAGTATGTCCCCATTCCATTAAAAACTGCCATCATCACGCCCACCCTGAAAAAACCCTCCCTTGATGCGTCGCAGCTATCAAGCTACCGGCCCATCTCCAACCTCCCCTTTCTCTCCAAGGTCTTGGAAAGAGTTGTCGCCTCCCAACTGCGCTCTTTCCTTTCCACCCATTCACTTTTCGAACCCCTTCAGTCAGGTTTCCGTGCTGCCCATAGCACAGAAACTGCCCTGGTCAAGGTCACCAATGATATCCTGACCATCTGTGACCAGGGCTCCCTCTGTCTCCTCGTCCTCCTCGACCTATCGGCAGCATTCGATACGGTCGACCACGCTATCCTCCTCCACCGCTTGTCCTCCCACCTCAACCTTCAAGGCACTGAATGGTTTAGGTCGTACCTTTCTCACCGTCTTCACTTTGTCTCGACGAATGGCTTCTCCTCCACCCCCCCGTACTGTCTCATGTGGTGTCCCTCAGGGCTCTGTCCTCGGTCCCCTCCTCTTCACCCTCTACATGCTCCCCCTTGGTGACATCATCCGCAGACATGGAGTTAACTTCCACATGTATGCGGATGACACCCAACTCTACCTTTCCTCCTCTACTCTCAACTCCACGACCACCGATGTCCTGACAGCTGCCTGTCCGACATCGAGTCCTGGACGAGAGACAACTTTCTTCAGCTCAACGTGCGAAAAACCGAGGCCCTCCTGATTGGCTCACGTCAGCGCCTCCGCACCTCAGGCGCTGACACCATCAGCATCCAAGGCTGCACTCTCCACCTCTCAAAGCCAGTCAGGAACCTCGGCGTTTTGTTCGACCCTGAGCTGTCCTTTCTCCCTCACATCCGCACCACAACTGGCACCGCCTTCCATCACCTCCGGAACATCGCCAGACTACGGCATTACCTCACCCCTCACGCGGCTGAAACCCTGGTTCACGCCTTTGTCACCTCAAGGCTGGACTATGGGAACTCTCTCCTCGCCGGCCTTCCCGCCACCTCCCTCCACAAGCTGCAGGTCATTCAGAACTCTGCAGCTCGTGTACTGTCCCGCACCAGGCTTCGGGACCACATCACTCCCACCCTCGCTCGCCTCCACTGGCTCCCCATCCCCCAGAGGATTGATTTCAAGATCCTCATCCTCACCTACAAGGCCATTCACGGCCTTGCTCCCTCCTACCTCTCCGACCTACTATCCCCCTACCTACCTGCCCGTACCCTCCGTTCCTCTGGCTCCGGTCTGCTCCACGTCCCCCGCCCCAACCGCCCTACCATCGGTGGTCGGGCCTTCAGCCTCTCAGCCCCCAGGCTCTGGAACTCCATCCCCCAGTGCCTTCACCGCCTCCTCCCTTTCCTCCTTCAAGGCCGGTCTCAAAACCTTTCTCTTTGACCGTGCCTTCAGCTCCCCTCTCGACTCTCTTCCCCCTCCTCGCTCACTCCCCTCCCCTCACCCCTCAGCTAGGCTCAACTACGCCAACTCCCTGCTTGTCAGCCTTCCCAACTCTTCCCTCCACAAGCTGCAGATCATCCAGAATCCAACAGCTTGTGTCCTCTCCCACACCAGGCTCCGTGACCCTATTACTCCCACCCAGCTACACTGGCTCCCATCCGCCAGAGAACTGAGTTCAAAATTCTTGTCATCGCCTTGCTCCTTCCTATCTCTGTGATCTGCTAAGTCCATATCATCCTGTCCGCTCCCTCCACTCAGCAGGCTCCAGCCTGTTCTACATCCCCCAACCAGCCCACTCCCCATCGGCGGTCAGGCCTTCAGCCTCTCTGCCCCCACCCTTTGGAACTCCATCGCAGACTCTTCACCTCGCTCTCTCTCCCTCGCCTTCTTTCAAGACCTGTCAAGAGCCTCCTCTTCAACCGCTCCTTCTGCCGCACTGCTACCTTCAATGACCTCCCCGATTCCATCCTCCCCCCCTCCCCCGCTCAGGGCCAAATCCCTGACTGTCCAGCGCCTTGGGATATGAAAGGCGCTATACAAATGTAATTTTGTATTGTATAGTAAGGATAATCACAGTCAGTGGGGGAAAAGGGATGTTGGAAGAGGGAGCAAATGAAAAATAAGATGGGATTTTTAAATCAGGACACGTTTCGGAAGAGATGGAAGAAGCAAGAAAGTAATGATATTTGAAATATCAGAAAGTTACAAATCTTTAAAATTACTGCAGTGATCATACACTATAAAGGAACATTTTCTTTCATCTCACCTGAACAGCAATATAAAGACCTGGCACATTGAAGGATTCGAACATGATCTCAGCAGTATACTCTCGGTTTTCTGGAGTATTTAATGGTGGTTCAGTCTGTTGAAAATACAATACAAGCATTTTAGGAAACTGCATACCACACCTAAAGAACTCTCTTTGCACAAATGTGCATAATTCAAAGAAAGTTGCAACTTCAAACCTCAAAACAATAAACGGTTTGGTTTTCTGTAATGTTTGTAAACTTGTTCCCTGAAGCTCAGGAACACACTTCCTCTATCCCTCCGCCTTGCCCCCATCTTCAGGTCGTGCCTGAAAATCTTCCACTTCGACCGAGCCTAGTCACCTCCCCCCTTCCTCGAAGTCATGCTCTGCACCTGCCAAGCGCTCTGCAACACTACCCTGCGTGACAGGTGCTATATACATGCAAATTGCTGTTGTGTGGAATAGAAGAGTACCAAGACTATTACAGTTATAATGTGTTCATTTGGCTCAATGTCTCTGCAGCCATTTTAAGCAAGGCAATGAAAATAGCCGATTACCAGTTATCGTCGATGTCACTGTGCGAGATGCACACTGCCATCGTTTCCTTTACAAAATGACATCAGTGGGACTTTCACTATATAGCATTCATGCACAGTGTACAGGAAGTAATATCAGCAACACTTCCTGGGATGAGCTGACAGCAGCAGCAATGTGACAACACAGAAGTTAACCATACTGTAGCCTGGAAAATGATGATTACAGGAAACCCCCACTCTAAATGAAGCAGTTCTTTATCAGAGTCCTATAACGGTAGCCCCTGTAATTTCACCACACCTGTACTGTGAATTAAGGAAAATAAACAGGTTAAGGATTTGTTTTTCAAAATGACTATGGCCAGATATAAAAGTTAGAAATATTGTATGCTTTGGTTCCAGTGAGGAATGCATACATTAATACCATGTCAGGCAACACAATCTGAAAATCTCTTCTCTGTGAATCACAGCCCCAGTCTCATCTCGTAGACCACTAACAAAATGCATTCGAGTTCCAACACAATCATCCTAGCTTTATATCTGCATAGCAAACAACAGCTTTACTCACCAAAAGGAAATAATGGTCCTCTGGTTCTGCTCGAAGGTATTTAAAGATGACTTGTTCCATAAATCTCTCCATGAGATCCCAGTCTTCAACTATTCCATGACGAATGGGCCACTAGTACAGAAAATAAAATAACATTTCAGGTGAAGCAATTTTAAGTACAAATAAACCCATCATTGGTGTATTTAAACATTATATATTACAGCCTAGTAAAATTCAAAGTTTAACTTTCAAGTAAAATTTGCCACAATAATTAGTCCTCTTTTTAAAGTGGTAGGGTGCAAAGCCATGACTATTTGGCTACTTTTTGTATGCCATTCCTTTTGGCATCCTTAAATACTTGTGAGGATAAGCACAAAAATACTTTATGTTAACGCAAAGATAAAAGATTAAATTTTAAATGCTTCCATTTTGCTTTAAAAGATATAAATTAAGTACATTCTTAATTTTAGTATGAACAATATGGTGAAAGCTTAGTAAAAGCTAGTTCAAATAAACATCTGATATTCCAGTTTAAGCTGCATGCTTAAGGAATCATTCTTTAAAAGAACAATGCAAAATAAAAAATACTCCATCATTCTAGTAGACCCAAATTATTATTCAAGATGTGTAATAACATCCTTAACATAACATAATAACATAATATCCTTCATACTCCATTTACTTTATATTACATACACCACTTTAGTGACAAACGTATCTGGCAGTTAAATGTGTCAAAATCCAGTCAGATATAGAACTATTGCATTTACCTTTGTTGCGTAAGTAGGCTTTTCTATTGCTTCATCGCCTATGAAGAAATCCAAATCATCAACACCTTTCATCACCCTCCTTGAAGCTTGGTCACCAACCTTTGCAGACTCTTTGATTGCAATACCTTTCAGGTAAAGTAAGAAAAAAATAAGTTACTCTAAGACAGCGGCAGTTTAAACATTTGAAAATACTCAGAAATTAATAATGATGGTTTCCTTTCAAACAAAAATAACTTTACGGTATATTCTGTGAAGCACTTTGAGGTGTCTCGACGACATGGTGTGATGCAGTATCTAATGGAACGATTATTATTAAAATATGAACTTTAAAAGAACAATGCAATAACAGATTTCTCTTCAGTCCAAAAGACCCAAATAACTTTCTACTAAAGGACCCAAGATCCTCACCAAAATCCACTTAAATTTGTAGTTAATGCTTGCCTTTTCAAACAGCAGTTCCTATTCAAAACAAAATTATCATTTCATTGAAGATCCTCTTGGAGTATAAGCCTCAAAAATTGCATTAATAGAGTGTATTCCATCTGGGAACTTTTGGAACAATAAAGGGAAAATTAGGTTAATAAAATACCAAAATAACCTAAGCTAAAAGTAAAATACCAGGGGTTGCACTATTTCTGGAATTTAATTTGCATTTGTAGTCTTTGAAACTAAACAGTTGGAATAGTATTTGATGAAAGGTAAGAGCTTCATAGCTGTAGATATGGTCTGTCAATTAAACAAGAAAATGGATAGGACAAAACTGTTGCTTTCAAATTAACAAACCAGCACTATAATAAAACACGTTATAAAGAGACTGTAATGTATTCTGGAAAGATTACGTTTACAAATTTTCCTTCAGTAGCAAAGTTTTCTGACAGTAGTAACATTTCTCTGACAGTAATAATCCCAAACATCACTAGGCCCTTACTCACTGGCCCCTCCACTGCCGCAAACATGAGAGAGACGTCAATAGGAGTGGGGACTCATGTGGAATATAAACACTGGTTCAGATTAACTGGACCTGGGCCATTTCCATGTTGTATTACTGCTTGTAACTATCCCAATAATAGAGCCAAGCTATAACCAGAATTTTTCTTTCTTTAACATATGCAGTAAATTATAAATTAGTGCTTGCCTGAGGCTATGAAAATTCTTCACATAAACCACAATTATTACAAGTTATATGCACTTCAGCTTCAACTCTGGTTTCTTCACTTTTACAGAAACAACTAAACCCCTGCTTGCCGGACTAATTGGTGGTGGGGGGGAGGGGTCTGGTCTAGCGATTCAGAATTTCTGTCATTTTCCGGCACTGCATATGCATTTCTACCACTGTTTCAAGAAAAAACCCACATATATGCCAGGGAAAGGACATCTGTGGGATCAGTTTATGCACACTAGGAGAGTTGTGTCACCAGGGGTTTACATGTGCATCTGCGAAAATTACAAATGTATTTGGTTTCAAGCCAGGTTCAAATCCTAAGTCTGTTAAGCTAGAGGTTAACTGTGCAGAGATCCTCAAATAATGGAAAGCATGCAGAACTGATCATAACACATCAGAATATTGTTTACATCTGATTAAAGATCTTGCACCATTTAATAAAATTATTGTCAACAGGTAACATAATGGTTATCCATTATACACGTTACCAAAATGACTCAATGGTTATGTATTACTGATACACGGTTCAACTTGATAAGCTCAAGTCCTTCAGAACCAGGAAATAAGCAAACATTTTGATCTGAAAATGTGCTTTGATGAAACCTTTATTCTTTAAAGCGCCCTTAAAAATATTTTCTGTTACAGAAATGCTAATCTGTTGATCAAAGTTGTTTTGAAACTACATTGTAATGCTCAGATTTGGACTGAAATTAAATACAAATCAACTTGGAAATAAAGATCAAGTAGAGTAAAAGTAACAAAAAATAATTCATTTCACACATTCTACTGTATTCGGTCACTTTGGAGAAGAGGCGTTTGTGACATTTTTAAAAAAAGTAATCATTTTACATCTTGGATCCAGCAATCTTTCTTCTTACACCCATTCTTAAATGGTTAAATTCTAAATAATTTCATACTCTACAAGGTAATTATGACACCAAAATGTTTATATTCTGTACTTGAAATGACTAAGGCAACAATCCTTCCAATTTCCCTATATGAAAATAGCCATCATCTGTCCAGCACAGCCTTGAATAAGGCGCAATTAAAATTCACGTGTTGGGCAAAGCCCAGGCATGAACACATGTTCCACTACTTCTTAGTGCAGCATTACTCCATCTAAAAATGTACCCGATGCCCAACTGCATTTTTGAAAAAAAACTTATGGATTTTTTTAGCGATCTTCTGTAATGCACATTTGGTCCAGCTTACACTACTCTATCTTAAAATCCAGCTGAAATCAGCACAAAATGTGAAAACATAGGATTTCAAAGAACCTGAAAGTGGATATTGTAACCTGCCTTTAACAGCTTTTTTTAAAAAAAACTATTAGTATTTTTCATTAATTGTATAAAGACATTAAGTTTATCGTGATCACTTTCTATATTAAACTTTCTAATTCTTATTACATCTAAAGAAAAAAATGTATTTAAATCATCTCTGCAATGGATTTGTACCATCCTTATAAACCTTCAATGAAAGAATATAGCTGTAGCACTGTATGAGAATATGAGTGGGTGATTCAGTACAGAATTGCTGTGCCCTAATTTATCATCAATTTTGTGTATTAAACAGCTTTCTTTTACCTCACAGTATGCATTTTTTTTAAAAAAAGCAAAGAAGCCCAATCGTGTTTTATTTTGTCATGTATTCAGGAAACTAGTGACTAAACACTGTTCCTGGGCTCATCTCCAAATTTAGACAGTGAGTGTGTGTTTGTACATGAAATTTACACTCGCCCACTTCCTATCCAGATGGAAGAGTTGAGCCTCAAAAGACATTTTTTTGTAGTTTTATTCCTAAATTAGTAGTCTAGTTGTGGATTTCCAGCTCATAATGAAGCTCATTATCAGGTGAACCTTTGTAGCCATTAACTCCTCATAAATGTTGGGAAAATTCTGAAATAGAAAAGCAAACCATGTCCATGTGTATGTATTATGTGTGAGAGATCTAGCTTCAAGAGTACATTTGTGGTTAGCTCAGAAATGCTTGCATATATGCATCATGCTTCCTTAAAAAAAATTTCACTTATTAAATATAAAGTAGAAATCAGGTTGAGAAACATCAAAACCTATTTTTTTTAAATCAATGAGAGTACTCACTGCCCTATTGCTGAAAGCATGTTTAAGTTTAATATTCTCATATTCTTTTAGCTTATCCACACACACTATTTTCTGACTGTCCTCTACCAGTTACTGTTGTGTGATTTGGGGGGATGAGAAGGGCATTCCTCTCCATGCCTCTAAATGATAATTGATCTCTTCCTCTCAAATTTGAGAAACATCACCACATTGCAAACCACTATATATCCTTAGCACATTATGTCACATTGATACTAACCAGAAATTGATTAGAACATTACAAGCCACAGGTGATTCTCTATAGTAATTTTAATTTGGTGACCAATAGCATTTAAGATTTTACTGTAACATGCAACTGTAACTGATTTTGTACTTGGAGCCAACCGATTATGAAACAGAAAAGCTTTTCAGAGAAAATTTAGGAAGAGATAAGAAGCAAATTTTCACTATCCGTTTACATTTAGTTTCTTTTCAGCCTTCACAAGATTTAGAATTACCATAATAGTTAATCTCATTTTAGCTACAATCTCTGTGGAACAACTTAGTGCAGTATTCATTATTATAAGATAGATTATTATTATTATTATTATAAAACAGTGCTTTTCCAGACAATGTGTGCAGGTTTTTTGCATAAATGCATGAAATTTCAGTCTTTGAAGGCCACATTTAAAAACGTGAAAGAGAGGTTAAACAGTTTACCAATCATCTTTTGATAATTCTGCTCTTGGAACAAAGCCAATTTTTTTTACATCTGAAGATTTATAGCAGCCTAGGTTCTAGGTGAATTAGGAGTGACACCTAATTTAGCAGCAACATTTTAACACAAAGGCAGATTTTGTTTCTGGAGCTCTACATCCTTGGACTTGACCAGAAAACATAAATACCATAACAGTATAGACACTCAACTCATTAGCAGATTTGTACAATTGTTTTCTTTTTAAAAAACAAATTATAATGATCCTACTGTAAACAAAAAAAGTCTTCCATTATGAAGCCAAGACCCTGAACCACAAAGCTCAAATGAAGTGAATTAAATAGAACAAGAGTAAATTTAGCTTTCTTGGAAAATGGGACGGTTAACCACAAAGCTGGTGCCTGCAACCCTAGCTTTCCTCACCACTTCTACAATATCCCCCAGAGGATTGATTTCAAGATCCTCATCCTCACCTACAAGGCTATTCACGGCCTTGCTCCCGCCTACCTCTCCAACCTACTATCCCCCTACCTACCTGCCCGTACCCTCCGTTCCTCTGGCTCTGGTCTGCTCCACGTCCCCCGCCCCAACCGCCCTACCATCGGTGGTCGGGCCTTCAGCCTCTCAGCCCCCAGGCTCTGGAACTCCATCCCCCAATGCCTTCGCCGCCTCCTCCCTTTCCTTCTTCAAGGCCGGTCTCAAAACCTTTCTCTTTGACCGTGCCTTCAGCTCCCCTCTCGACTCTCTTCCCCCTCCTCGCTCCCTCCCTTCCCTCCCCTCACCCTGACCATTTCCCCCCTCCTTGCTCCCTCCCTTCCCTCACCCTGACCATTTCCCCCCTGCTCGGGTCATGACCCAACTGTGCAGCGCCTTGGGACGTCCTCCTGACGTGAAAGGCGCTTTATAAATGGAATCTTGTTGTTGTTGTTGTATCCTTGCATTTGATTTAGAGCCTTATCACGTTGAATGGAAGTCCTAAGGGATTTAAATAAAATGCTATCGGTGGAACTGAAAACTTCTCTGCTCTTATTAAGAATGTCAAAATCCCTAATACAAAATAATCCTTGCAATTGGTGCAACACCTTATATTGAGACGTCTCAAAGCACCTCATAGGATATACTGCAACATGACTGTATTTTGTGGCAATTGAGACTAGACCAGTAATGAAGGATCCTTTGAGAGTCAACAGCAACTTCTAGAACTTTAAAGTACAGAAAAACAATGTAGTTAAAAAAGGGATTGCTTTTCTTAGGGATAGAACAAACGCTAGCAAATGTTCAAGGTGACTAGAGTGAGGAGAGGACATAGGATAGTGGTAACTTCGGAATGCATCTCATGAGACTAAAGAGGATAATGCTATACAGAGGTCTTCTAGAAAAGATTAACATAAGGAAGTGAGAAGTGGAGGAAGGTGCTTCAGAAGAGGTTGTTAGAGGGACAAAAAAAAATGTTGCACAGATCAGCCCTTTACAGACAAAGCAACTGAACTAAAAGGAAAGCAGAGCAATAGAAAGGAGCATTGAAAGCCACTCTGGTGAGGGCCCTAAAGGAATGACTGCTAGATGGGCAGACAGAAAGAAAGCAAGAATTAACCCAATATGACAGTCAAGGAATGAGGTACGAAGCTTTTCATGTCAGTGAATAGTAGGTAGTTTACAAAATAAAAAGATTTCAGCAGCAAGTGTTTTAGGTAGAAGGGTTATCTGTACTTTAGTCAGAGTAGAATCAGCATTATTCTGAAATTAATCTTTGGAACTGACAAGTTCATTTCACATGGATATTAAATTTATTAGCAATTAGAATCACAATTAACTTACATGATGGAATGATGAACTGTGGTTCTGTATTTCCAGCATACCCAAGCTTTGTATACCTGAAAATAATAACAGGATTTATTATTACACCCAGACAGAATTTGAGCATTTTATTATGCTATTCTCTGCTTATTGCAAAAAGATATCTCATTGTCCACCTTTAAAATGAGTCTTTCATGTTGCCTTTTTGCATAAATTAAGTAACAGTATCAGAAAACCTTCTCAAAACATGATCCAAGTGCAGTACATATAAGTTTTTTCTATATTTGTTTAATTTACTCACTGCTGTTGTACATTAAAATGCAGTTTTCTCACTCTAAACAATGCTGAGCATTGCTACATTCTATAAAGCCATCTTTCATACACGTTTCTATCACCCAACACACTTTGAAGGTCCAAGTAAATACTGCCAATTTTTTCAAGGGATTATGCACTCCTCCTCTATCACTTTTCAAATAAGAAATAGAATTGCCAATTGAGAAAAGAGTCAATCCCAAGCCTTTAGCACTCATCTGGTTTAGCACCAAGATGCTTTCTGTCACCATTTCCTGAATGGAGAAACCCCACCAATAACCATAAGCACAGACTTCCCATACATTTCAATCTTGCATGCATGTTAGCGTCAAGAAAATAGCCATAGACATACTTCACTTATACCCTCCACACAAAACTGAATGCATGGCCATAGCAAATGCGACCGAATATGCAAATGCGCAACTATGATAAGACTTCTTCATTGTCCAATTATCCAAGAAAATGAAGCCCAATGTCCATTTTTCATTTAAAAAAAACTTCATACACATTAAAGGTACAGAAATTGAACACCTCATCTTTGCAGAAAATGCAAGGCTGGCCCCAAATACCATGAATGGCATTGAAAGTACTATACTTCTAGAATAAAGAATCTAGAATAAATGTATGCTTAATATTTCAATTTTACACCATGATCAACATATCACAGTCCTTTGGTCTTTTTGTAGGTGATTGAGAGACTACAGTATATTCTGACAAGATAAAGTTGAATACATTTGATAAAAAAATGAGGTTGTGAATGCATTTTAAGTGCAGTCTAGGCCAAAGAAAGGTTGCAGGTTAATTTAACACAGGAAGTTGCGGTACCAACTTCTCACAGTGTTGCATCTTGAAAAAAACCTCAAACTTTTTTTTGACGGGGGGAGGGGTGGAAGGGGGGAGAGGGGTGGAAGGGGGGAGAGGGGTGGAAGGGGGGAGAGGGGGGGGGGGAGAGGGGTGGAAGGGGGAGAGGGGTGGAAGGGGAGAGAGGGGTGGAAGGGGAGAGAGGGGTGGAAGGGGAGAGAGGGTGGAAGGGGAGAGGGGTGGAAGGGGAGAGAGGGGTGGAAGGGGAGAGAGGGGTGGAAGGGGAGAGGGGTGGAGGGGAGAGAGGGGTGGAAGGGGAGAGAGGGGTGGAAGGGGAGAGAGGGGTGGAAGGGGAGAGAGGGGTGGAAGGGGAGAGAGGGGTGGAAGGGGAGAGAGGGGTGGAAGGGGAGAGAGGGGTGGAAGGGGAGAGAGGGGTGGAAGGGGAGAGAGGGGTGGAAGGGGAGAGAGGGGTGGAAGGGGAGAGGGGTGGAAGGGGAGAGAGGGGTGGAAGGGGAGAGAGGGGTGGAAGGGGAGAGAGGGGTGGAAGGGGAGAGAGGGGTGGAAGGGGAGAGAGGGGTGGAAGGGGAGAGAGGGGTGGAAGGGGAGAGAGGGGGAGTGGTGGAAGGGGAGAGAGGGGGAGTGGTGGAAGGGGAGAGAGGGGGAGTGGTGGAAGGGGAGAGAGGGGGAGTGGTGGAAGGGGAGAGAGAGGGAGGGAAAAAAAATCACCGCGAAGGGGGGGAGGACAGGCCGTGGGGGAGGACAGGAGTCGAACATTCACACTTGTCCAGGTAAATCCACATTCAAACGCTTGTGTGTTTCCAGGTTTCTCTGGATTGAATATTTCTTGATTTTATGGCAACAAATCAAGAAATATTCAATCAAGAATTTATTTTGTTGGCTGACCAAAAAGATGGCTACCACTAATCTAGTGGATAAAGACATGAAGCCATATAGACTTGAAGGTTACAAAATTGAATCCCAGCCTGTGCTGAGTCCCTGCATTCTTAAATAAAATATACAATTCAGATTAGGATTAGGTCTGACTCAATTGCAGTGCTTCCAAAAGTCTGTCAAGTCATATGAAGAATGGACACTTCAGCAAACTACTAAAAAGTACCTATGGAAATGTACCCATTAGAGGAATACACTTCACATTGAAATTTACATAGCAAGAGTAAAGATTATTAAATTAAGAAGTCAGATACGTTTAACAAAGGAAGAAAATTAACAACTTTAAATAGGAACTTTACCATACTAATTAAAAAACATAGTACAAATCTCAGATGAAGGAAGCACGTTCATACTTCTGTTCCACAATTTCCCCCACACCTTTGGCAGACTAAGCAATTTCTTTAGCAACATTCTATAGGTCAAATCTGAGAAACACATAATAATCCTTGCATTTGATATAGCGCTTTTCACGTCTTCGACGTCTCAAAGCGCTTCATGGAATACGCTGTAAAGTAAATTGACTGTATTTGTGGCCGAAATAGTCCATCAAGGACAAAACACTTCTCATTACTTTACACTTTTTCATACAATCATTTCCTGTCAGGCCAAAGAGGTATAACAGACCTCCACAGATTCTACACCTCTAAGAAGCCACTTCCTCTTTCATACTGAACATTTATGAACATTTGAGAAATGATGGACAAGTGAAATTGAAATCCATCCATGACTTTAATACTGCTTCAGCTACAGAACAAACAAACAGCAATGCCCTTTAACAGATACTTCTCACTTTAATAGATACTTCTCTTACCTTAAGCTCACTCTTCACCTTTATTAATTCCTACTATGGTCATTGTTTTCTGAAGTTCTCTCCCAAACTATCCTATACATTTGTGTACCTTGCATTGAAATCAAAACTCCAACTTACTCTTTCCAGTGAGCTCAACATTGTGCAACTTCCTTAGTCCCTCACCATAACTCTCTTCCACAATCTTCAGGGCTTTTTTTTAAAAAAAGGCTGTTACCTAACCACTACTTCTCATTTATCGTATCCTCTCTCTTTTGCTCTAATTAGTTTCAAAGTGACACCAACAAATACAGTAAACTGATATCTACAATATCCTACTGTATCACAACCAAGCAAATAAACCTAATTACTTACCCTGTGAGTTAACATAAAAGAGCATTTTATTATATAAGCAGCCAATTCTAAGATACATGCAGTACCCATAGTTGATAGGTGTGTCTAATTAGAATGATCAGGGATATATTGTGGATATTGTACAATTATAACAATATTGGCCATTACCTGAAATGTTATGGCAGGATCTTTTGTAGCTAGAAAAAGACCCCAAATCTAGAAATGTTGTTGCATTCCACAGGCACATCTGTACACTACATACAAAACTCACCCAATAATAGTGTGCTCAGAACATTGAAATATACTACTGCTGCTGCATATCTCATAAATCAAAGGTAAAATACTAAGTTTAGAATTTGAACATTTACCAATTTAAGATCTAGCTTTGATACACGAGAAAAATAATTAAGAAACACTACTACAGAAGAACTAAATAATAATATTCCTTGCATTTCATATAGCGCCTTATCACATAATAATAATCCTTGCATTTGATATAGCACTTTTCACGTCGGGAGGACGTCCCAAAGCGTTTCATAGAACACACTGTAAAGTGAATTGACTGTATATATTTGTGGGTGAACGCGGCAGCCAATTGCGTACAGCAATGTCCCACAAACAGTCGTAGATTGAAAATGACCAATTTTTTTTTTTTTTTTTGGCTTTGGAGGGATTATTATTAGGCGTGTGGAGTAAGGAAACTTGCCCAAGGTTTCGCCTTGCCTGGAATTGAACTCAGGTTTCTCTCTTGCAAAGCGAGTGCTCTAACCACTGAGCTACAGGACTCCACATCTGACACGTCTCAAAGCGCTTCACAGAATATACTGTAAAGTGGATTGACTGCATATTTTGTGGGCGAAACGCAGCAGCCAATTGCACACAGCAGTGTCCCATAAACAGTCATGGAGTGAGTGAGCACATTATTTTTTATTTATTTTGAAAAGATTATTACCGCCAGAAAAGCGATCCACCAACCGACTAACAACTAGGTTCCTACTTACTGCTAGGGAAACAGTGGTGTGTGGAATGAAATGTGCCTGGAACATAATCAACATACCAAACCTGTCATAGCAAGCCCAGTGTTTCATGTGTTCTGGTTACCCAAGGGAAAGTAAATGAAAATAATCAATTAGAATGTAACATTGGCTATTAACAAGTTAGTCCTTGCAAAGGTTTGTATACAAGAGCAGATAAAACTAAATTCAAGTTTAATCTTAATGATGAAACATTGACCCCTGAATTTGTAAGCACGATTTACTGCACTACAGCTGACATTTGCTTAACACAATTTTCTAAATATAGTTTTCTGAATGTTGAATCTCGACTAAACAGAAAGCACAGAATATAGTACAGAAAAAGCAAAAAAAACACAGGAAACCTAATTTACTGAAAAAAACATTTTATATCCAAGTAAGTCTTCAGCAGTACCACTAGATTGGAGTGGAGCAATAATGGAATTGCATGTTGTCTGACTATTAAACGTTTGAACTATGGCTTGAGACCAACACTGCAGCAAAATATGGAAGTGCGAAGTACTGCACAGTACATAACAGTAATTCCCAGAAATTTGGTGCCATTTAGATTTCCATCACGACTGCAGAGGTGAGAGTGCTATCAACAAGGCTCAGTTAATAAGATTACACCCCTAGCCAACTCAGGTCCATAACTCTGTCTGTCCAGCGCCTTGGGAGGTCCTCCCGATGTGAAAGGCACTTTACAAATTAATTTTGTTGTTGTTAACTCCTATTTTGCCTATACATAACAAATAAACAGTCACTACACTTTACAGTAAATCCTATGAAGTGTTTTGAGAAATTCTCTCAAGGTGAAAAGTGCTACATCAAATACAAAATTAAAATATATACGGTGAGTCTGAATAGTATACAGTAAAGCTCAGTTGTATTGGTTGCGACCATAGCATTTAATATGACTTACTCGAAGTCCGAGTTACAGGCAAACTGCACAAATCGTAAAATCTAATTTAACCAACGATCTACTCTGAGCGTGCGTAATTCAATGCAGCCGGGAAGTGCGCATGCTGTCATGGGTCAAGATGATGTTTCCCACAATTCTATGAATCTTGACCTGGCGCCGCATGCGTACTTGCATTAGAAGCATGAAGTATCGGAATTGCATGAAATGTAGTTCCTCTGCAATGTTCTCATTAGGCTTGTCTAACATACTATTATGGATACATTATCAGGAATGCCATAGATAAAAATAAACTTTTAAAATTCAATCTACAGGAAAGCTTATCTAAGCTGTGAAGAACAGGCTCAGACAGACATAATTAAGTTTTTAACAATATGACAAACGCAACACAAATTTATATTTATATAGTGCCTCTCATGTTGGGAGAATGTTCCAGAACACTTAACAGCTCAGGCTTGGCAACTGAACTGGGGTGGAAGTCAACGAGGGTGAGGAAGATGACAAAAGCCATATCAGTTCTCAGATTCAAACTGCACCTTCACAGTCAGAACTTTTATCCCCATCAATTGTATCTGCATTTTGTATGCAAAGATTTAAAAAATATGGTGACATACTGACCCACTCAGTTATCAAGATTAATATTCTCAGGCACTTGGTCCCAATGTTAGATTTATTTTAATAGATTTCAAATAATGTAACTATTTCTGGTATTTTGTCCCACTTTAACTGAAGGTTAAACTTTTTTCTCCATTAAACTGCCTCTTTACTCTATACATCTAGTTGCAAGCCCCAAAATTTTATTTTAAATTTTAAAAAAATGTTGCACATCAAATTTGCCTATAAAATAGGCATTTGGATATAAACCACTGGTTACAAACTTCCTGTGAACCGTTTTGAGACATCCTCCCAACTTGAAAGGTGCTATATCAAACTCAAAAGATTATTACCCATATCTGTGATTAGAGACCAGCATGCACAAAATAAGTCACTGATATTGCAACCAACAGAAACTGAAATCATTTTATGGCATTTTCTACTCAATTCAGCCTATATACGAACATGTATTCCATTTTGCCAAGAAAAGCACAAAAATGCCCAGAAAGGGACCAGTCATCTAACTAGAGGTGTCTACGCAGCAGAAACCAACACAATATCGATGATCCAATGGGATGAATTTTCACACACTAGAACCTTGAGTTTAGACATTATTATAATGTTCGCGATTAGTTACGACAGTAAAATGCACCATCTGACTCAACACTTTCAGCAGAAGTAAGGCTTTTCCTCTTGAAAAGCAGAAGTCGGTGGAATGTGAAGAGCTCTCAACATGAATATCTTGTCGCTCATTTAAAACCAGCGCGAGGAGCGCCTCACATTTATGTGCTTTGCTTTTCTCCTCTCAGTTAGAAGGGTGGGGGGACGGGACGGGGGGGACGACAATTGCAGACAAACACAATGCAGAATCAGTAGTTTTGTCTCCAGTGTTCATTTTGTGAAAGAAAACACTGAATGTTTTTTTTTGCAAAAAGGCCCTTATAAGGCATTATGCATGAAAGCAGGAAGAGGGTTTGACAACTAGGAAGTTCCATCGCGCTCTGCTCACCGTCGGCCTTTATTCAATTGGGATTCTTTCTGCCCTTTTCTCCCCCACATCCACCCCCAAAAAACATCCTCCAAATATACAAAATACCCAGAAAAATAACAATAATGCTTATCGGCCCCGAGATCTTGGGGAATAATGTGCAGCCCGGGCCGGGGGGGCCGTGACTGAGCACAGCAATATTCACCTGAAAGCTGAAGGTACAAACGGGCGCTGAGGGAAGGGTTGAAGACCGCCCCCCCTTCTGCCTCTCATCAATGAGGAAGGGCTGGGAAGCGGCACAGACACCAGTGATGTCCGCTTGCCGGGGGCCACCAACTCCGGCCTTTTTTTTGTGTGTGTGTGTGGGGGGGGGTGGGGGTGTGGGGGGGGGTGGGGGTGTGGGGGGAATGACACTTCATCTTCTGAATTAAATTTAACAATTGTAAAATTGAGACAAAAATAAATTTTATCAAAAATGGGACAGAGGCGGCGAACAAGAGAAAGCTTTCCCCACAGCCCCGCTGGGGCTACCCGGCCTCCGGCCCGAACAAGAGGCCGGGCTTGGGCCTCACTCACTCACTCACTCACTCGGGTCCAACCCCACTGCCTCCCCCCACCCCGTTCGCTTACCCGGTGCCACAGTCCACGACGCAAGCCGGCAACCTTCCTGCCATCTTCACTTAATGTTGTTAACGCGGGGTGGGGTGTGTGTGATTTGCTCCTCTGTTCTGGTTCCGGCTGTTTCTTCTATAGCGATTTTCTTTTGCTATCGATCTTGGGAAACCGGAGGGGGAAAAACAAAAAAAAAAGACCGACACCACCAGCAGCGGCGGCGGCAGCAGCACCAACAGCAGCAGTTACCCGACCATCAAACAGGCGGAACCCGCCCCTTCCCCGCCTCGATCATTGACTCCTCGGCAACTTCCGCACTTGCGCCAAGATGGCCGCCGCCGCCCGGGAGGTTCATTTACGCGTCACGCCGCCAACTTCTGCTCCGCTCCAACAAACTTGAACCAAACCCACGAAGGTCACACCTCCCGGCGCCTCGGCGATTGGTCAAGTCCATCATTTCAGACCGCAGCGGGGGTGTCTCTCGAGCCTGAGTGGTCGAAGCCGCTGCCCATCACCGAAACGTCATGGAACATGTGCAGCACATTAGGTTGCGCAGCCCCGCCCTCCGCTCCGGCCTTAAAGCCTGGTTCGTTATGTGACTCGCCCCCTTGCTCCAGGCCGCACTGCCTGCCGGGAGGTGTAGTTGGTCGAGACGGGACGCTCGGGTGACTACACGTCCCAGAAGGCAGTGCGTGCCCAGCCGATCCAGTGCGATCAGTTGGTCAGTGTCAGCTGATCAGGAACTGCGAGGGCCTCTGTTTACAACCGCTCTCTCTCTCGTCATCGTCTACATCAAAATATTCCTGGACCGCCGTGTGTGTGTGTGTGTGTGTTTGTGGTGTGTGACTGACGACAGGTATGTTTTGCCGTTTTCTCCTTCAATGATTAATCTTAGACGTCTTAAGCGGTATGATTGTTAATACCATTGTTTTTGATATGGTTGGGGGGCCCCTGTCAGTCTGTCAGTCTGTCTGTCTGTCAGTCGGTCGGTCAGGGCCAGGATTGGACACCACGAGAGCTTTGGCACGTGCACGGCTGCCAACAAGTTAATTGAATTAATTGTCACTGGAGTGAGTGCATTTTGTACTTGTGGATGTGAGTGCAATCCCCCCCTCCCCCCCACCCCATATAACAATAATGCTGGTGAAATGCAACTATTTGTTGGGGAAAAAATCAGTTCCCCCCTTTCTTTTTAAGAAAATACATATTCTTGCCTTTTCTTTCTCTTTATCTGTGGTTTTTATCTGATTACCATAATTACCATAATGACTTCCAAAGTTCTGTTTAGCTCACAAAAGGTATTTGAATTTGTAAGCCAGGTTCATGCAGGTAAATTAAATCAGATTATTTCCACCTTCATGTAGGTGGAAATAATGAAGTTCATGAAGTGCAGATGTGCTTTTGGACAGAACGTGATGAACTTCATAAAAAAAATTGTTGCTTCAATTACTTTTGCCCACAGTATTTCAGTGACCCCCTGATGCATCAACAGAATATTTACATGAGTCGAATGAAGTGTTAGAAAACCAAATATACTGGTCTATTGTATGAATATAAATTTTGTTTGCACTTTACTTGCAAAATAAATAGTTGGCAGTTAAAGATTTCTGTATGACTCATACCTTAATCATCTCAAGTTTGATTCACTTGATTCACAGTGAATATTCTGAAAACAAACCTGACTATTTTACAAATTAACCTTGATTTTTTGAAAAATAAATAGTATATTGCCTTTACACTGTCTGCACATATGCACATAGATTCTGTTTAAAATTTGGCAATTTAATAATTAAATTATTAAATTAAACCTGTCTGCATTGTCACTTAATTTAATGATGTATATTTTCAAATGCAAAAACATTTTACTGGTTAGGGATAGTCTTCAGAGATGATACTGAGATTAACTGTATCAGAAAGAACTTTCATATAGAAAAGATTTGCTCATTAAATTGCACCTGTTTGGCAATCGGCAAAATATGATAATTCACACCTGTATTTGTAAGTTGTCCAAAGGAACTACAGGTCTTAAAGGAATTAAGTCATAACATACTGAATGGTATCCCTGCAAAGTCCCAGTAATTAATACAGTTGAATTGTTACTTTCTGGCAAGCATTTCTGGAACACATTTTAAAGATGCTCAATTCTTACCTCAGGTTTCAATGTAAATTAATCAGTAGAGATTAATAACAATTGTACATTAAATGTCTGGCATGACATCTGCAGTAACTTTCACAAATTTGTTTAAGCATATGATTTTTTTTCAAATGACAGTTAACTTGACTGTTTGTTTTATGGGGTACACAATTCCATAACAATCCAAAGTACTACAACAACAGAATTACATGTGTATAGCGCTGTTCATGTCAGAAGGACATCCCAAGGACAGTCAATGCTCCGGATCCAAGCTGGAAGTCGGGATCGGGGAGGGTGGAGGGAAGTAGCGTGACCGAAGGCACGGTCGAAGAGGAGGGTTTTGTACCTGGTAATTTTTTAACTATCTGTAAAAAGATGGGATTTTTTGTTTGTTTATAAAATACTTTCCCAATTCAATTGTTTCTTAGTTAATTTGTGAATTTAGTGCTGCAGTATTATCTTTCAGCAAGATACAAGTACAATGTTACAATAGACTGGTTCTAAATGTATCTTCTAAGATAAATCAGGTATTGAGTAGTATCTGGAGTGTCTTGTATTAGAAATCAATGATTTATGCTATCATTTAGTACCAGTGAGGCAAGTTCTGGAGCATGGCGTGCAGTTTTGATCATCCTTCCTCCGAATAGATAGATTGGAAATGTTGCAGAATACAAATAGCTAAGATGATTTTAGCCCTTACTGGACCAAATTATGAAGAAAGATTCAGCCAAGTATTCACTTTTGCTAGAAAAATTGATAAATGAGAAGGGACAACAACAAAATTACATTTGTAAAGCACTTTACGTAAAGCTGAGATGGTTTAGCATTCACTCGAAGCATAGGATTACATGAAACAAATAGAAAAGCCTTGCGACCGATAAGAGGATTTATTCTTCCCTCCCCACCAGATAGTAAATGCTGTATTCTGAAATGGACTCCCAATAGAGAGTAGATCATTTTGGAACAGCTGTTAGATTTAAATGCTGGTTCAATATTGGTTGAGAAAGTGGATTGAGAGGGAATAGGGATATGAAAGGGCCTGCAATGAAGGTTATGGGAGAGTGGGGGAGGTGAGGGATGGGGGAACGAAAGAGAGAGAAAAAGAAAACCCTGATAGGGTAGTCACCCCATGCCATGGAGAAATGGGCTTTTATAATTCATAGCCTTTGCTTGTTCCAAACTTTCACGTGGCACTGGTTTTGCAGTACTGTTTTGAGCAAAAAAACAGTCATTTACATACATGATTTGCATTGCCTGGCCGTATTAAAATTGGTGGCCGAGATCAAATTTCCATCCGCATGTTCAACTATAAAAAGCTTTCATTTCTGCAAGTAGGAACTTGCATTGTTAGCAAACGTTTTAAAAAGAAACCTTAGATGGTACTCTATTGCATAATGTGTATCAGCTTGGGTTAATCAATAAACGTGTGATGCAGCTTTCAATCATTGATAAAACACTATCTTCTCATTTTGATAAACTAAAAGGTCACTCAGCTCCAGTGCTCAATTGAGCAAAAGGTTCTTGTGTAATTTGTCCCTTTAGCATTCTGATTGAGCAGATAAGAAAAGTAATGTGTCCTATAATAATAATAAAAATCCTTGCATTTGATATAGTGCTTTTCACGTCTTCTAGACGTCTCAAAGCGCTTCACAGAATATACTGTAAAGTAGATTGATTGTATATTTGTGGGCAAAACATAGCAGCCAATTGTACACAGCAGTGTCTCAAAAACAGTCGTGGATTGAAGTGACCCAAGTTATTATTTTTTTACTTGAGGGATTATTATTAGGTGTGTGGAGTAAGGAAACTTGCCCATAATAATAATAATCCTTGCATTTGATATAGCGCTTTTCACGTCAGGAGGACATCCCAAAGCGCTTCACAGAACACACTGTAAAGTGAATTGACTGTATATTTGTGGGCGAACGCGGCAGCCAATTGCGCACAGCAATGTCCCACAAATAGTCGTAGATTGAAAATGACCAATTTATTATTGTTTTTGGTTTTGGAGGGATTATTATTAGGCGTGTGGAGTAAGGAAACTTGCCCAAGGTTTTGCCCTCTGCCTGGAATTGAACTCAGGTCTCTCGCTTGAGAGGCGAGTGCTCTAACCACTGAGCTACAGGACTCCACTTTAATGCTTTTTGTAGGAAGTTTTACATTAAACAACAACAACTGGTACTTATATGAAGTCTTTCAAATTGTGCAAAATCTCAATAGCTTTACAGAGATGATGCCAGATACCAAGCAGGGAGAGTGGGATTTGGGGAGAAAGGAGGTGATAACAGCCATGGGTGAAGAGGTACATTTTTCAGGAGGCTTTTATAGGCTGATAGAGAGGGGTAGTGTAATTTAGGGAGGAAATTCCAAAGGGTAGGAGCATAATGGCTGAAATCTCAGATAGTAGGAAGGAGTGACTGAGGAACATATAGCAGTTTGAGTTTGCCAAGGAAGAGGGTGAGGCTGGAGAAAGTCACAGTTGGGGGTGGATATGGGTATTTAGCAATTTGTAGATGAAAGTGAAATCTTGAAGTCTATCTGCTGGGAGACAAGAAGTGGAGAGAACTGGGATAATGGACACGTTTATTGTGGGTAAGGAGGAAAGTGGCCACATTTTGGATGAGGTGGAATTGTGGATGATGCAGATGGGAAGGCTGGTGAGAAAGGCCATTCTGGAGGAAACAAATACGTCATCTTTTACTAAACTTGCTTTATCAGCAGGACAGTTGTACCATTTATGTAGGTAAGAATTATTTTACATTCTGCTTCTGCGAGGTTGCCCATGCTGGACCATTTGTTTGAATAAATCTTTGGATTGTACACTCATAATCTTCAAGTTAGTGTAACAATACATTGCCACCGCTCTGCTCAACTGTTGTCCTGTGATCTCAGTATCCATCGTGAATGGAGTACTGGTAAACTATCCAACTGGTGTCTGGTAAAGATTCTGTACTAAAGAGTGAGTAGATGTGAAATGTGAACTACAGATTCAACCACTCAAGAATGTACATCAGTGTCATTAGCCTTTTGCTTTAGTCTCAATAACCTGTTCTCTAAAATCTTTGAGCACCCTCAGCTGAGGTGAATGTGTGTTTAGTACCATGAACTGATTTGGTTTATAGACATTAATTTTTTGTTCGATCCAGCTTGGTGTGTTTATGAAGATGAGGAACTGAAGGGAAAATAAATCTTTATTTTGCAAATTTTGAGCAGGAGCATATATGAAAAACTGCATAAAGTGAGTGGAAATCTGTGACCTGTGTAATTAACTTTTGTAATCTTTTGGAGCTATTGTAATCCCTAACTGAACAGATTGATGTTGGCATTATTGAATACTTAAAATTATTTATAATAAGCCTTAATATTTTGAAAGTTTTGATGGCTCTAATGAAATATTGTAGAATACTGTAGAGGCCTGGCATTCAAAGGTTATGATTACAAGGGAGGGGAAGCTATATACACTGTAGAAGGGGGTGTATTTTTTTAGGGAATGGGTGTTAAACCAAATTGTAAACAAATTTAGTTATATACTGTTTAGCCACACACACATACAAGTATGCATCTCTTGATGTTTGGCAATACCTCTTCAATTTCATGTAAATGGCCAATTTTGGAAACTTCCCATACATTTCCTACTAACTTGGTGTGGTTCTCTGTGGTTGTAGTCATTGCAACACAAGCAAGTGTAACTTTTTCAGAGTAACTGTGGTGTTTGGTCACTGATGTGGCCTACTAGAGATCATTGCATGTTGGTGAAAAAATATATTATCTTCCTTAGTAATGGACTAACTATTGAATCCCAAGAATCTAGCTGTGTCTATCTGATACTTGAGCAGAAAGAATCAGAGAGGCTTACATATAATCAGTTTCACACCTGCTGAATGGTAGGTGACTGCAATTTAGAACACTTTGAATCTCTGTTATTTGGATATGCAATCTACTTTGGAAGCCATTGAAGTATGGGACCTACAACTCTGTACAAGGATGGAATTTACTAATCTTTGAGAGGTATTACAAGAAACCTAGTCTGTGTGCTATCTACATATAGGTCGCACCGGTAATGTCATGTCCTGTGCTTTGTGAACTGTGCAGGAAATGCTGTATGTGGCAGCCTTACAACTAGGAAGTTGGCTTTTTATGTATTAAAAGTTAGTGGGGGGGGGAAATTAAGGTAAAATAGAAGTTCATTATTGGTCTAAATTAAAGAAAAAAATATTCAGTCAAATCTACCTGCAGTCCTCACAGTAAACCTTTCCGAACTGTTGGTTCCAGTCATAAATGTTTTATTATCTACATATTGGTAACTCAATTGTAATAGTATTCTTTATACAGAAGTATTTAACAGTTGGAATTGGTAACCAGGAAGAGGACATGTAATTTATTTAAGAAATAGATTAATGCTGAAATGGAAAGAAGATGGGGTGTATTCTGAAAGGATGAGATCAAATGAGTCAAAGGGGCTTCGTCGTCTGCACGTCTCTTATGATCTTATCCTTCATGGGTATAAACGTTCAGTTCTCAAAATTTCGAAATCTGCATGTCACCTGGCACAGTGGTAGCACTCTTGTGACAGAAAGTTGAGGGTTCAAGGCCCACCTCAGTTTTATTCATGTCATTGTTTAACAATCTGTACATCAATTCTATTATGATACATCTTGAGGCAGCGGAAGGTGAGTAGAAATTAGATTCACCCGTGGACATGAAAAGATTAATAAAGTTAGAGGGAGGAATGAAGAATGTGCCAATAAAGGATTTGCCGATGGGTTTTAGTTAAGGGAGAAGGATATTCTTGTAGTATTGAACGTGGAATGCGCCTCAGGTCTGTGGCAAGTCTAAACATTCTGCATTATAGTTCTGTCAAATAGGTTGCAGGGTGCTTTACAACTCCTAATATAATCCGCAAGAGTGTGTAACCAATATTTGTCATGATCAAAGTATATAAGTGATGTATATTGTGTTAAAAACACTAATTTGCTGGGCTTCCTATGTTGAGTTGTAACAACTCAGCAAATTCTCCTTTCTTCCACCTCACCACTCTTGTCTGAAAGACCCTTCACACCCCGCAAAAAACTAACCCTGGTGATTTCTTTTCAGACAACTGAAATCCTACTTCTATAATCTCTTCATGCACTTTAAAACCATTATCAGGAAATATTTATTGTAAAGTATTTTGATGCCACAGAATGATTTTGGTGGGGGAGGGGTTGCAATTGATTACTTTTGAGCTGATTTTTCTTTTTTTAAAAAAACACATGGTTCACATAATATTCCATGTGCTTGTATGAGTATTTCTAACTGCCATCCGCAGCATTTAAAATGTTTTCCTAGCATTAATTATGTACAGTAATGGACCAGCCTTTGTGGCTAATTTGCTCCCTCACTCATTCGCGCTCCGTCTCTCTTTCTTCCACCTCCACATCTCGCGCGTTCAAATGCCATCTCCTTTCCCCTCTCTGTTTATTGCTGATTCTGTCTCCCAACCAGCCTGAACATCAACAACCATGTGACCACTTCACAGTACAGTAGAACATTTACACATAACGGAGCATGCAACAGCCCTCTACGAAGGTAAGTCTCTTGGTAATGAAGCAATGATGGTGTCTGCAGTTTCAAAGCTGGTTTTAATTTTAAAAACAAAATACTGAGGCAGTGTTGCAAATAAGGAGGAGGATGGTTTGTCCTTTTTAAGCCAGACTCATCAAGCCCACCATGTAAATAGCACATAAATGTTTTCACACACATCAGTTTTTATTAATTGAGGTAATAGCACTGCACTACTTTTCAACATACTTCCTAGGACCAACACAGACCTTTATCTAACTCCCTGTTATCTAACTCATTGTTCCAAACTTTGAGTTTCTGAAATGTTTTGCCATTGTGTGCACCGAATCTGATGAAGTCCAATTCAATGTTTTTGGAAAAAAGGACTCAGGAAAAACCTTATGTATCTGCATCAACCTTGTGCCCTAATGTTTTTTTTAATAGATGAATATTGAAATTTTGGATAAATGCAAATCCAAATTGATTATTTACAGCTTGTTACTTTATCTGCTATATTTGATGATTGCTTTAAGGGTGGGATTGGAGCATTGGAAAACTTGATTCAATTTTCTTTTGCTTTACAGAGGAAGCTGTTATTATTTTTTTCAAATTTGTTGTGGGAAACATTTAACGTAAGATAATCACATAAGGTACCTAAATTTGTGGATTTTTTCATCGGTAAATTAATGTAACATTTGAAATGAGGAATTTGTACAACATACGACTTAAATATCTGCAAGTGGTTTACTCATTAAATTAAAGACTGAACTGAAAAGCTTGTTAAACAACCAAAACTTTGTGCCATGAATAAAGTTTATAGTTTTACTTTAAAGTCCATCCACCCATTAAATCTAAAACAGTTGGAACTGTTGATTTGTTGTAAAATTATGAATACAATTTATATTGTTGCAACTATTCATAATGGAGAGGCATTTGATTGCTTTCTAGGTTCTGCAAATCGTTATGATGAATAATGAATGAAAGTGCATGCCCTAGTTACTCAAATAACAGGTATATAGAGTTTCTTCATTTATATAGTCTTCATATGCCGTATGTTTTTTTTAAAAAAAACCTAACTAGTTAACAGTCAAAAATAATTCAAAGGGTTCCTATTTTTTTAAAGAGATTTTATTTCATTGTACTCCCAATGCAGCTTTAAGAATGTCTTGCCATATTTCAATTCCTATTCTTTTGTTTATTATCGTGTGAAAAGATTGCACTATTGTAAGAGTAATTTAGAAATTTAATAATTTATGTTCTTAGTTTTGTGTCCATTTGTGCTTTTTAAATATGGATTCAGCTCCAACATAAGGAAGGTTCATTGCGCGTAGGTTCAGCTTCTAAACAGGCAGCCTCTAATACAACAACAACAACAACAACAAGATTCCATTTATAAAGTGCCTTTCACGTCAGGAGGACGTCCCAAGGTGCTGCACAGTTGGTTATGTGCAACTCTATAAACACCTTGTGAAGAATAAACCAAGTGAAGGGGGCAGGAATCATGCTTCGATTAGTCCAGTGGTTCTTATGCAAGTGTAGAACATTCACCTGTTGTATTGTTGGAGTTCTGTAGCTTAGTGGTTAGAGCACGCTCAAGTGAGAGACCTGAGTTTGATTCCCGGCAGGGCAAAACCTTGGGCAAGTTTCCTTGCTCCACACACCTAATAATAATCCCTCAAGAAAAAAAACAGTAAATAAATTGATCACTTCAATCCATGACTTTATGGGATATTGCTGTGCACAATTGGCTGCCGCGTTTCGCCCACACCTATACAGTCAATTCACTTTACAGTATATTCTGTGAAGCGCTTTGAGACGTATAGAAGACATGAAAAAGCGCTATATCAAATGCAACGATTTTTATATTATAGTAATACTGGCCGCCTGTTCTGTTACAAAGGGATGCTGGCAGATATTTCTAGCAGTGTTTCTATGGATTGAGAGAGGCCTATTGAAATTAGTTTCAATATTACATGAACAGCACAGAATTCAATATTTCAAAACTTTCCCAGGAAACAATAAGCTTGCATTGCAGTATTATTCAGTACAGGTGGAAAGTAGACATCGAATTCCTTACTTCTGTTATCATATTGTCTTTATATGTGTTCACGTACAATTTATTTATGCTCAATGGGAAATGGGTGATAAGAATACAAAACATAATGCTACCAATTTTTGGATGTTGTAGACATTAGGAAAATGTACATTTAAAATAGCTGACATCTAAAATGTGCAAGAGGGTCGTAGTCTATTGTTTAAGTGACCTAATAAACCACTGGAACAAACATCCTGTGTCATGTTTTTGGTCTTTGTAATGTAGACAAAAGCTGACTATATTTATATGTGATGGTCATCTTAGAATCTTGTACAAGTTATGCTTGTATTTTTGTCTGCTTTCAATTAACATCTTTAATAAACAAATGGTTCTCAAAAAAAAACTTGAGTGCCAAAGGCACTTATTTATTTTATTTATATTTATTTATAAGATAGGAGGTAACCCAAGTAGTGAGTGTCAATTTGAGTAGCGAGTTGAACACATGACTGACTGAAATCATGTGAAGTTCTATCTGACTGATTTCAGAAAATAACTTTCTTTGTTCTTTGATTTATAATTTCAGCTGCTCACATTTTGGGAATTTGTTTTTAATAGATTGCAAATGGTGTGGGTGTTTATCATGAACCGAATGAACTCGCAGAGCAGTTCCTTTCCCCAGCGAAGACGTATGGTTCTTGGAATTATTATTTTGTTGATTGTTGATATCATCTGGGTTGCGTCCTCTGAGTTTACTTCGGTAAGTGTTCTTTGGCACTATCCTGCATAAAGCAAAGTCATCTTTTTTATTTTACACAGATGTAGATATTTTATACACCTTTACTATTTTATTTATTTTTCACCCACTCATTCAGGGAGTGTTTGCTTTAACAAGCCAAGGACAATGAAGCCTGGGATATAAATGAAGCTGTGCAAGTCAAACATTTTTTCACCATCAGTGTCCCCAATAATGTTTTCTCTGTTGGCTGGAAACTAGGATGACCTAAATTAGGCTTCTCTATACATGCAAAATACAGGTTTGCAGTGGGAATCCTTTTAAAACCACGAAGAAAGTAGAAAGAACAACAAAATGATGTGAAGGAGGCTGAGATCTGAACTTTACTTTTCGACGATTAGTGGAAGTAGGCCACAATGTGCTAGGATAGTGTTGTGTCCATTAAGATATGGATTCAACCGCACTGAATGCAGTTGCACTGAAACGTTCTTTGTACAGCCTTGACCTGTCCTTGTGAATAGCAATAATGTTTCAATAGCCTGTAAGAATTTTTTCTAGAGCATGTTTCCTGTGGTATTCATTGGATAGGCATGTATTGTTGAACCACTACTTTTGTTTGAGTGCAGCACTTAGACTTATTTAAAGTTAAAATAAGTAATTCATAATGTTATCAATTCAGGAGGTAGCTTTGTGAAAAAAAAATTTAAATCTTCCCTCAAAGGTTTTGAGTCCAATTTATTTATTGTTCCCAACACTGGTTCAATACCCACTGAGAACAGAAATGCTATATTTATCCTGACAGTGAATTAATTTGCCTTTAATCAATATTTGCTTCTCATGCAAACCACATATTTGGGCTTCTACAGGGTGACCATAAAGTTGCGATTCCATTGCAATCTAATAAGTCTTGAAGAATGATTTTTTTAAATAACAGGGTAGATATCATGACTTTGCTTAACCTGTACATTCAGCCTTTGAGAATATTGTTGATTTCTGGAGGTCAATATATCCTTTAAGGGGTTTTGTAAAGATGTATCCTTTGGTGATTTGTTTTCAATTCAAGTTTGATTGTCAAGGTTTGATTCCTGGGTCACTCAATCTGTACGCAGTCAACTCACTACTGTATATTCTGCGAAGAGCTTTGAGACGTCTCGAAGATATGATAATGCACTATATATCAAATGCAAGGATCTTTATTTTTAAAAAAAATCTAAATTGCTCTTTCTTTTATAGATTGTGCCATGTTATATTCAGTAGCATTTCTTGTAACAAATAGGAACCTTAAATAACTGCTGTTTTTTGTAAAAAGTTTATAATGCATCGTTTGAGGGGTCAATGATGTGTGAAAATACCATATTCAAGTTAAAACCGTCTAGCTTTCAGATTTTACAGGAAACAGCCATACCAGTGGTTTACCATTACTTCCTAACTGATAGTAGTGAACATTCCTGCAGTCCTTAGTCCAGCACAGTTGTATTTTCTGTTTTGTTTGTTTTAAGTAAAATCCAATATGTCTCACTAGAATTTGATATTTTTGCAAATGCATCATTTGGAGACTATTTTTGTATTTTGGGATTCAGCAAAGCTGAGAGAATCTGGTGCATTATAGGTTTAGTCTTACAGGCCCCAATGCAGATGAGGTAACATTAAGAACAGGACAACTTAAGAAGTTTTACAGTTTCCAAATAGCAGAAGTGTTTGACAACATAATTCCACTGCAAGCATTACACCAGTTTTAATTCTATAATAATACAATGCTTATTGATCTTTTATAGTCCATTAGGGAAGATACTGTAGTATATATTTGCTTTTGTAAGGCAAATCAGTAAACTGACATTTTGTGTTATTCTGCAATGGCCATTATTCTCTATTAGCAAAACTATTTAAATTGCCTTATACAATTCCACACTGGCTTTAATAATGGGTTTCAATTAGAATTTTATCGTGCTTCAACTTAAAATTGTAACCCAGTAAAATAAACTGAACAGCAGGATCAATGATTACAAAATCACAGTACGTAGCAATAAACTACTCCAGAATTTGAAATGGACAGTACTCTGTGAAATTAGTTGCAGTCTATTCACTTCAAGTATTTGTTTTATTGTCTTGAATTTTCAACTTTTCTGATCTAAGTAATGATTGTGCATTCATGTGGTGGGAACTGTAAATGGCTGGATGTATGTAGTTTGCACCTAAAAGCTATTGAATACGTGGTGTGTTGTTAAGTGCATTATATTTTGTTTCCTTTCCGAATACAGTATATATTTGAAGAGTATGATAAGCCCTTCTTTAGCACTTTTGCCAAAACGTCTATGTTTCTGCTTTACCTCCTGGGGTTCCTTGTTTGGAGGCCGTGGCGGCAGCAGTGTACTTATGGAAGACATGTTGCACTGGTAAGTATTTCCCTTGAGTTAGATTTTTAATCTTAGTGGAGTCCTGTAGCTCAGTGGTTAGAGCACTTGCTTTGCAAGCGAGACACCTGGGTTCAATTCCAGGCAGGGCGAAACCTTGGGCAAGTTTCCTTACTCCACACGCCTAATAATAATCCCTCCAAAACCAAAAAAAAATAATAAATTGGTCATTTTCAATCTACGACTGTTTGTGGGACACTGCTGTGCGCAATTGGCTGCCGCGTTCGCCCACAAATATACAGTCAATTCACTTTACAGTGTGTTCTGTGAAGCGCTTTGGGACGTCCTCCCGATGTGAAAAGCGCTATATCAAATGCAAGGATTATTATTATTATTAATATGGTGTGCTTTTAAAGTTAAGGCTAAAAAAATGTTGTATAGCTGCTACATTTAAAATTTAGATCTGAGATTATCAAATTGTTTTTGGAATTGTGCAGATGTATGTTGCTCTGTTTAATATTGTATGCAATTTTTATTGTAGTTTCCAGTAAAGATATCGGGGAGGGTAGGATTCAGTTTTGCTTTGATAACTTCTGATTTCTAATTACGTGCTGGTAAAATTGCTGGTCACAGCCTCTTTTTAGTGCCCTTATTACCATTCTTTGATATTTTTTGCTTCATAACTTTCAAACTCTCTATCTTTTCAGTTTGCAGATGCTGAAAGTTATCTTGCTACCTGCACTGCAGACACTAGTATAAATGATTCCTTGGTGAGTATTAAATGGTAGAAGGAGCCATCTACATTCATTGTTAATCCAGGTATGAAAGTTTTCAATCCGTATTATGGAAATTATATTTATTTCAGTGTCAGTGCTGCTATTGACGTAACGCTCTAAACCTATTCACATTAAGAATCTTGCTTTGGGGAGGGGGAGGATAAATCATAGAGAAAGCCGGATCTAGGATTCTAAAAAAAAGCACATCAAGAGCAGCAGCTCAATAGAATAATCATACAAAAATGAACAAATGCTTCTTCAGAGTAGATGAAACAATTTATAAAATAAAATTCTATTTGCTCATTGTCAAAAAGTAGCTCAGTATCTGAAACCCAAAGTTCATGCTTTTTTTAAATAAAATGCTATTCATATAATTGCACAGAATTTTCCCTTTCTGAATAATCCAACATTTCTGAACCATAAAGAACTGTTGAAAGATTTGTTCACTTTTGATTGTGTTATTCGTGAAAAAAATCAGTATGTTTTATTACTGAATATTAATTTCTCTTTTGCATGGCAGAGTGAACCACTGTATATCCCAGTGAAATTTCATGATTCACCCAATGAAAAAGCGAATAGTGTTCACAGTGACCATGACATGGGTAGGTTTTGCAAATAGCTTTCTGCATGAGGTAAATACAAAGCTGCGTGGAACATAGACTAATATAAGAACTAGATGACTTTAATAAAATTCAACACAGCAGGATGCTCGAGATGTAACCAAACAGCGTCCCAAACACGTGCGCGGGCGGTGCACATCTTGAAAGCGTCTTTTGAAAGCGTCAAGTGCGCCTTATCGGTGTGTGCAGGCACACACGTGGATGTGTACACAGGGGTGACTCCCGACTGTTAAAAGGAGCGTCCAAAAAAATGTGTGCACAATCTATGTACAACCTAGGAATGTACAGTAAACAACGGAATGTTTTTTGTATCGGGAGAAAAGAAAACAATTGTAACAGAAGATGTTGTTTTGGATTTCTGTTGTACTAAATATTAAATGTATACTTTCAAAAAAAAAAGAATAAAAATCAAGTTAATGTTGAGGATGATGTTATGTTCACAAAAGTGTTATAAATGTATCAAATGACTAATGACAATTATGAAATAAAGAATAATCTTTTACTTTGTAGATGCCACAATGAAAGATTTGCCCTTTAGTCTCTGAAACCATTGGACATTATTGCCAGGTGTGAGCCTATGCACATAATTTGGCAAAAATTAAATTGTGTTAATTCAGAAATCCCAAGGATGGTTGCTAGGAGAAACAAACATTTTCACTGGTGAAGTAGGGGGTGCTCTTTTGAGGTTGCAATTGAAGTACAGTTGGCAGAAAACATAGGCACAATAATAGGCTGTCAGCTGATCAGTCAATAATGTGGCTGATTTTTCTTCCTTCTCCACCCCCCAACCACCACCGCCACCACCACCCCAACGTCATGAATGCTCAACTAGCAATTGTGTTCTTTCCCCACCCACTGTCCATCATATAGCAGATAATATGGCAAAACTCAGAGTACTCTGAGCCCTTCAACTGGGTGAACTAATCCATAGATCTGTATTTTCAAAGTGTGGTCGTAGGTAATTTTTTTCAGTTTTAAAATGTTTTTAAATTTAGCTCCGAAAAAAACTCGTGTTCGATTCAGCAATATTATGGAGGTACGACAACTTCCTGCCCACCACGCACTTGAAGCAAAACTCTCTCGAATGTCCTATCCAGCAGCAAAGGACCATGAAGCTGTGCTGAAATCTGTTGGCAAGCTAACAGTAACACAAGTAGCAAAAATCAGCTTTTTCTTCTGCTTTGTGGTAGGTGCCTTTACTACATTGTAACTTGTTACACTATTGCATGCAGACAATTGTTTAAATGCAGAATGGATGTGAGGGGCATGCCTGTGCTCTTGTAAACTTTTACAAGAGCACAAATGTGTACTTGGAACATGAAGGTTTATGATACATGTACACTTTAAAATCTGGTATCTATTCATAACTAATTAGCAGTAATTTCTTATGGAAACAATTCTATGGGTGCCCATCAGTATGTAGTTAAACTTTTTACTGTGATAAATATTTCTCTGGTTGAATTGTACATGAACAAGTTATTGTATATTGTGATTTGTCTCACGCTCAAGGAAATTTGATGTGATTGTAAAGAAATATCACCAAGCTACTTCAGATTTATTTGTGTTGGGGAATATTTAAAAGCAAATGGCATTAAAATTAGAGATATTATTTATTATTATTAAATTGTCTTTCTCGAATGGTTCAACATTTAATTTAATATTGACCATCCCAAATTGCTTCCAAAAGAATCTGGATACAAAATAAGATTAATTGTAAATAATGGTTCTGTACTTGTAGGATAAACTGTATTAACCTGGTCCACCCTCAGGGAGCTTTCAGTGCAGATTCAGTGTTTACCACAGGGTGATGATAACATCAAATTACCGAAGGTAGTTTCATGTGACACAGTTCCCACTAATTTTTAATTCAATTAATTTTTCAGTGGTTTGTGGCAAACTTCTCCTATCAGGAAGCACTATCTGATACCCAAGTGGCTATTGTTAACATCCTGTCGTCTACATCTGGTAAGATGTTGCTTGCTTGTAGTGCTTTTGCTGCTTATCGCATTATATCATTTTTTTCCAAGCTAAACTAATAAACTAATAAAGCTAGAAATTGTGGGGTGCAAAGTTTCTTCACACAAATGAAATTTCTAGTTTGTGGGAACATTGTGTAGCTGCAGGGCCACTACATACATTTGGATTTTTGTGGGGTCAGCTGGGTATCTGACACATGCAGAAACCCATCACCATGCTTAAGGGTATCCAAACCAAGCTGAGAATTCCATGCGTCTCACCTATACGTGGAAATCCCAGAGATAGATTAAGGGTATGGAATTCACATCCTTTTCCTGGAGGGATACATCCTGCTTACCTAATTCCAGACAGTATTAAGAGCAGGTTGACAAGAGCCAAAGCTTGAGGACACCAGAGTGTGTGCTGGGGTACTACTGGAGTCTAACCAGCTAAAACTGCACAGTTTGCCATTGATATTGCTGTCTGGCAAGCTGTCCCACTGTTTGTCCAGCTAGTTAAGGGTTTGGCTTGCAGGTTTAACAGGAGCTGAGTGAGATGACTCCCTGCCCCCAGTGACTGGTCTGCCCTTCCAGGTCCTGCCAATGAGAGGCTGGCTGTGCTGTCACCAGTAGTGCTCTGGAATACTGTGGACCTGTCTGGCTCAAAAACACAAACTAGAGGGCTGGCTCGATTCTGACATTCATTGCCAGGCATGTCACCTTGGAGCCAGTTAGGTTCCAAGGAGACCCTGCGTAAAACTATTTAAATTATGTCTAATTGTTGTTAACCATATCAGTAAAACAAAGAGAATTTTTTAAATTCGTCAGATTGAAAACATAATCAAAATCTCTTCTCAACAACCTGCTCCACAAAGCTTTGTTTGTTTTCCTACTGTCAGCAAGTTATTTGTTACTATCATACATAACATCTTACCTTTAATTTAACATCCACAATTACAAATGAATGGCATCCTCAGTAAAACTCAATTAGTCATACCCTCATATCGATACTACTTTATCATTTTATTTTTCAAAACGTATTGCTTCCTTAATGACTTTCAATGTTTCCTTCATACAGGTCTCTTTACATTAATTCTAGCTGCAATGTTTCCTAGCAATAGTGGAGACAGATTCACACTGTCCAAATTATTGGCAGTAATACTAAGGTAGGAATTGTCTACAAATAGAATTTAAGTTGTATATTTATTTTAAGTTGCATATTTTCGATTGTGTTAATATCTTTAAAGGTGACCCTGTTCTAGTACTTTTTGTACAATACAACCTTAATTTTATTCTTCACGTGTAACGATGCAATACGAAGTGAACATTTGTTTTCATTTTGTTTTCTAGTATCGGTGGTATTGCTCTTGTTAGTTTGTCCAGTAAAGATACCAAGGGAAAAGGTACAATAGGTAAGGACTCTTAGTACAGGCTTTTGATATGTGTGACTCGTTGACTTTTATTTTAAAATTTAGCAATTGCATTTTAATTTATCACACTAAACTGTTAAGTATCCAGAAACAATTCAATTTTAAGTTCCTGTGAATATAAAAACAATGGGCCATTTTGTGAGAACTGCTTTGATATCATAATTTTGATTTATGTAGCCTCTCATGATTATAAGAGAGTGCCATTTGTGTAATGCCTTATTAAAACTTCAGGGCATTGTTTGATTGGGGAGGGGAGGACTGATGAGCAATCAATCTAAAACATACCTAGTAGTCAGTTTTAAAATTGTAATAGAAGAGGCCTGGGAAACGATTGCATCTTTCCCTGAGGATTCAACAGAATAATAGGTACAGAATAATCCTTGCATTTGCTAGAGTGCCTTTTCATGAGTTTTCTGTTAAGTGCAGGGATTGTATTTGTGGGCATGATGTTGGATGGGGGAAGGAAAATTATATATATATATATATATATATTTGAAAGACTGGAACGAATGCAAACCACCATTCTAATTAATTTAGGACAGTCTATAATAACCTTAACGTTTTGTTTTACTACAGGCTCATTGTGGTCTTTAACAGGAGCAGTGCTATATGCCGTCTACATTGTCATGATTAAGAGAAAGGTAGACCGAGAAGACAAGCTTGACATCCCCATGTTTTTTGGTAAGTATAATTTCATACCGTATCTATACAATGTCGCACATGGTTTTGTAATACAATAAAATAAGCTCCCCTCTCCACGACTCCTCAAACAGCAATGACTCCAGGACTGAGTTAGCATAACTTTTGAGATTGCAGGTTACATATAACTGCTGTTTCATACACAAACTTACACAACCTCCAGTCTGGCTTCTCGAAGCGATTGTTATTCCACGTCTATTTGTCATACTGTGCTTTATCTTATAAACCTTAGCACTTCCGTGGACGTAAAGTTGAATCTGCAAAGCTCTCTGGGTAACAGCATTTCCAAGCTATGTAGTTTATTGCTCTTAACAGCATAATGGATAGTCGGGTGGCCTCTGCAATTTATTCTTAACCTTTCCCTCTGTATCCAAATTTTAATTTTAATAATGATGCGATAATATGCTTCAGGATTTCTGAAGCATATTATCGCATCATTATTAAAATTAAAATTTACTTTCCAATTTTATACCAACTAGATTTGATTGAAAGGAAAAAGCTTTTTAACTAACATGACCCACAATCAGGCCTAGACCTATAATCAGGCCTAGCAGTGCATTGTTTCTGTTTCCCCGTTTTCATAGATAATTTTCAATATTTCTTCCTAAAGGTTTCTACACTTTTGTGGAAATGCTCCCAATATTTTTTTTAATTACTCAAACTCATGCGGTTTGTTACCTTTATTAATGTAATGCATATTTATCCTGTGCACATCCTTTCAATGATATCAAATCAATTTTAGAATAAAAGTAATTTTTTAGAAAAAGCTTTTTACGGTATTAAAGAAAATTGCACATTGCCAATCACAACTCCACTTTTTGCTTCTTTTAACCGTAACATTCTGCTTCCAAGAATTCTTTTAATGTATTATTTTGCCTTACTTTTTACAGGGTTTGTGGGATTGTTTAATCTCCTGCTGCTGTGGCCTGGGTTTTTCTTGCTTCATTACACAGGATTTGAGGCCTTCGAATTCCCAAGCAAAACCATTTGGATGTACCTCCTTATTAATGGCCTTATAGGAACAGTCCTGTCTGAATTTCTCTGGTTGTGGTATGATTTCATTAGCAATTTGTTTCTATTAGACAAGAGGTGCTGACTCCATGGAAAAGAGTATGTAAACATTGCAGAATCCATACAAATAATAAACGAGGCTCCTGGACTTGTTGCAGAGAGGGGTGTTTTGGGACTGNAAAAAAGATGTGCCAGATTTAAATGTTTAAATACTAAAGCACAATTTACATTTTCCGAAAAATTTATGGCAAGTCAGAAAAAATATATTTTTATATTACATTTTATATTAGGATCATTATGACAGCAATAACGTTATGTGGAGTCCTCTAACTCAGTGGTTAGAGCACTCGCCACTCAAGCGAGAGACTTGGGTTAGATTCCCAGCAGGGCGAAACCTTGGGCAAGTTTCCTTACTGATAATAATCCCTCAAGAAAAAAGAACAATGATAAATTGGTCACTACAATCTACAACTGTTTGTGGGATACTGCTGTATGCAATTTGGCTGCCGCATTTTCGCTCACAAATATACAGTCAATTCACTTCACAGTCTATTCTGTGAAGCGCTTTGAGATGTCTAGAAGACGTGAAAAGCGCTATATCAAATGCAAGGATTATTATTATTTTATCCTGATGTCTGAGTAGCATTAGACCTGAAATATTTGTTCTTTTTCTAAACACCACAGTGTGTGAGCTGAAATGTACAGAACCTATCTGCCTACAAAGATGCATCTTTCTGTAGACCTGCCAAAAGGTCGAAAGATTAATTTAAAAAAAAGCAAAAACAGAAGTCGCTGAGAACACTCAGCAGGTCAGGCAGCATCTATAGAGAAAGGAAAGTGAGTCAACCTTTGGGGTCCACGACCCTTTGTCAGAGCAAACGGTTCAGAATGTCAGAACCCTTTGACCTGTACTGACGAAGGGTCGTGGACCCGAAACGTTGACTCACTTTCCTTTCTCCATAGATGCTGTCTGACCTGCTGAGGGTTCCCAGCGACTTCTGTTTTTGTTTCAGATTTCCAGCATCTGCAGTACTTTGTGTTTTGTCTAAAAATTAATGTTTGCTTCAGTTTTGTTATGTGTGAGTGAAAAACATTTGCTTAAAAAGAATACGGCTGACTTAAAAGAGTTAGGCATTCCACTTCATTTGGCCCACTATAGATCCCTTAAGTGATCAGCTAGCTGGATTCTGCCATACTAACTAACCTATTAGAAAAAGCTGTTAAAGCAGCAACATCCCCCGGCTCTGTCACTGTCTCACATTGCAGGCTGCCGAGATCCTCAAACACGCATTCATAACATCCAGGCTTGACTATGCATACTCCTTGCTTGTTGGCCTCCCCAACTCCTCCCTCCACAGGCTGCAGATCATCCAGAACTCTGCAGCCCGAGTCCTCTCCTGCACCAGGCTCTGTGACCTTATCACCCCCATCCTCGCCCGACTCCACTGGCTTCCCATCCACACATAGGATACAGTTCAAGATTCTGGTCCTCACCTTCAAAGCCCTCCATGGCCTTGCACTCCCCTACCTCTGCACCCTCCTAAACCCCTACCAACCTGTCTGCTGCCTCCGCTCAGTGGGCTCAGGCCTGCTTCACGTCCCTCGCCTACTCCAGCGTTGGGGGGGGCGGGCCTTCAGCCACTCTCCATTCTGCAGTCCCAGTGCCTCGCCTCCTTCAAGACCCATTTCAAGATGCTCCTCTTCGACCATACCTTTGATCACCCTCCTTCACCCCCTGCCCTCCACCTGCCCCGATCCCAACCCCCAGCTCGGGTCCAAAATGCTGATTGTGCAGCTTTTAGTGTTCTTTATGGTGTTCTGCAGTTAATTACAATTGGAATTATTAATGTTCATGGACTCTAAATATATTTTATTTTTCAGGGGCTGTTTTCTTACTTCATCACTGATAGGTACATTGGCATTGAGTCTTACAATACCTCTCTCGATGATAGCAGATATCTGCATGAACAAGGTAATTTAGCCAATTTTGAAAGTTATGTGATCAGTGTCAGGACACTTGTTTTAATACGTACTCTATTTTTTGGCAAAGAAAACTTTCTAAAACATTCCTAATTATCAGACCACTTTCAAACCTTAAAATAGTTGGATATTGGCAGGAAGAACTGCTAAGCGTACAAAGAATCAGAAAATAACAAGAAAGAGTCACCAGCTAACAAAACAGGAAATTGTGGATTGACTTAGTTGGGAGTCACACTCATTTTTCTCATAATGTTATACTGGGGATATTCATTGTTGGAGGTACAGAACTTTGGATGAGATGTTAATCAAAGTCATGTCTGGTGCTTTGGGTAGATATTAAAGATCTTTGCACTATTTTGAAGATGGAGCATTTTCCTGGTATCCTGACCAATATTCCTCCATCATACAATTTTACCACAAAAATACTTCAACACGTATTCATTCATCTCATTGCTCATTTTGGGATTCTACTAGCACCAATTAGTTGTCACATTTGTCTACATAATCATCACTACACTTCAAAGTTAACTTATTATGGCAAGTACGTAGAGACATTTTCGAATTTTATTACATACCAAAACACAGAAGCTAGCTGATAGGTGAAGTTTTCTAGTCCTGAGAATGATGAATATTTCCTGAAGTCTTAAACATAATGAATTTGAAAACTTAGGGTTAGGTGTTTTTGTTATCTAACTTATGTTTAGGTAATGAGAAACAAATATAAGTGGAATTCGTGGAATTTCTGCAGTTTGTGAATGTTAATGTCCTCAACAAGCACATCATAAATAAAATACTAACATTTTAAAACGATGCAAAATTTTGCAGAAAGTGAAAATATTTACATTTCTAATCGTTTTGTGAAAGGGATTTAATAGTGACAAATGTATAGCACACGTTCATACAACAAAGTACTATAAAACAGTGCTTTGCTGAGTTATTTTCTAAGATCAATAAGAATCTTTAAGAACAAAGTAAAATGAATAATAATAATCATCCTTGAATTTGCAACTTATCACTTTGGAAGGACGTCTCAAACTGCTTCACAGGATTTCCTGTGAAATGGAGTGACTGTATATGTGTAAACAAACATGGAAGCACAGTTGTGCATGGCAATACCCCACAAGCAGCCATGGAACAAGTGACTTGGGGGATTGTTGGCCAGGACATGGGAGAAACTCCCTTCTCTTTTCAAATAGTGCAATGGGATTTTTAACATCCACCAGAAGAGGCAGACAGGATCTCGGTTAAACGTCTCATCCAAATGATAGGTCTAATTAGCTGGGTTTACTGAAATTTATCAAGTGCACATAGTAAAAGGTTACTTGCTTTGTTAAATCCTAATGTTATCCTTTTGAATTTTCTAGGTGAAGTTTTCTTGGTTACTCTTTGCAGGATCGGTTCCAGTCTTTCTCTCATTTTTCATTGCAAGTCTTTTATGCCACTATAATAACTGGGATCCAGTTATGGTTGGCCTAAGACGGATATTTGCATTCTTATGTAGAAAGCATCGGATTCAGAGGTAGGGTAACTTTTAAATAATAGAAATATATAAGTCTGATCCTAGCGAAAGACTGGTTAATGTTTGGATAAAATATGGCTGTTTAACCTTTCAGCACATAAATACTTGAATCTTTAGTCTTTGCATTTGCACCTTGCAACACATGAACATTGGGATTTTTGTCTACAACAATAACAACCACAAATTGCATTTACATCATTAAGAATGCCACATTGGATTATATTGGTCATTATGAAATCAAGAATTTAAAGGGTACAACATAGGAAATAAACTGATGTAGTTTGATGAATATTGAAAGTGTCTGCTTGCTGTAAGGTTTGAGTTCATTATTGAACCTACATTAGCAACAGTGTTTAATTCTGGAAACCTGGTTGTCATTACAAAAGTTATAAAGAAGCATGGAGCAAGAAAAGGTCATTCTCCCCACCAAGCCATTTCTTCCGCAGGCCATATACAACCTGCTCTATAATGGACTCAACTCATTTAGTCACCTGAGGAAGGGTTTTGCGAAGTTTCTTCCTACTCCCAAAGGTAAATTCAGCGAAACTGCAGAACCCCTTCATCTTATCCCCCATTGTCTTAGTTGACGACATTTCCATGGTCTTCACCTCAGCAGCCGTACTGTTCTATATAAAACATTTCAAAAACTGTTTCCCCTTATCAGTCATTTCTGTTCCTGACCAGATATTCATCCAGCTTTTTTTTCCATTTTTTATTTTAACGCACTGGAATTGAAAATGTATTCAAACGGCATAGCCATCAGATAAAGCATCTTTGGTGTAAACTGCATTTTTGTTAGGAAATGCTCTGTCCACTGATTGACACTGACTTGCAAGACTTTCACTTCATCACATGATCTTCTCGGAGCCAAGGTCTTGTGGGTTGAAGTGATACACAGAGGATCCATCTCAGCAGCAAATAGTCTATGTTGCAGTGCTTCATGTATCCAGGTGCTTTTTCAACCTTATTCACTGCTTCATTTGACCATCTGTTATACAGATCCACCAGTAGGGGAAATTTTTCCTCCCCCACCCCATGGAACACACCACCTAGTGATCTAGTTGAGAATTCAATCTTATCCTAACAGTAATAAGTAACTGAAAGTTGTATATTGGAATGTAAACTTTTTACGACTTAAGACAGCTATTTTAATTCATTAACCATTCAAATGAAATAATTCAATCAACGTGGAACAATTATCACTCGACTATTGATAGGCATCTCAAGGAAATATGCCAGAAGATGTCCTAAATTTTATTTTGGGAGTTATTGAGTGTACAGATGGAGTAGTTTGTAGCTTAGGATATCCAAAGGATATTGTTGATTTGGAATACTTTCAAAGATTAACAAGGATGATTCCATAGTTTAAAAATCTAAGTTACGAGAGACTCAAAGAATTAAATTTCATTAGAAAACAAGTTAAGATTAAGAATAGGAATGTTCCTGGTGTTTAAAATACTGAGTGAAATGGATATCTGGAAGCATCCTGAGGCCATAGTTTGAAACAAAAAAGAGAGGTTGACCCTTTTTCTGGTTTCCCCTAAGTTGCACTCCCAGTATGGAACCCGATCTTAACAATGTGAACAATACTTGTAATTCAAGGAATGAAGACTAGAAGGTAGGTGATCTCACTCCCTGCAGAACTGCCTCATAATCTTAAATCTTTTCAATGAAGAAGTCATCTCTCAGTTAACTCTTTTCTTTCCGTGACCTAGTTTACACTTTAGAACTCTTTGGTTAGCAGCAGCTTAATGTCAAAAGGAGGGCTGTCACTAACTGCCATTTTAAAGTGTCAAACCGGTCAACAAGTGGTGATTGAGATATGTCTGGATTAGGATTATGGGGCAGTTTAATAGAATACATCCTCTTCTAATATTTTAGAAGTAGTTTGTTTACAGTTCACAAGGAGGCCATACAATCCATCATGTGTGTGCTGGAGCTAGCTTCCCCACTCAAGTGATCTACTCTGATTACAGTAGTTTATTCATTTACCATATATATTATTTTTCCTCCAACATTTATCCAATTCCCTTTTAAATGAAGTTTGGACTCAGTTTTAAATTCACTTACTATTTTTTCTTGAACGAAAGTCTATTCAGCGATCACAAAGTGCAATTATTAAAATAGATGACTGTATTTTAATACTGAAACAACCAGAGAATTTGTCTTTCTGAGATTGTGTTCCATAATTAGCTAATAAAAACATCAATGTAACATTCTTTCAGAATTCCAGAAGACAATGAGCAGTGTGAAAGCCTGATACCCATGCATGGTGTTTCTCAGGACGAAGGAACTAACTGTTGTTCATGAAATACAGGTATATGTCACATAGCTGTGTGTTCATGTGTAATCATAATGGCTGTGTGTGTGACAATCCATTTAAATCTTACATGTTGCACAACCATAAACTGGGATGAAAGCTCCCTTGCTCTCTCTCTTTGTCTTGCCCTCCGAACCCCCAGCCCCCCACCCCTCTTTCCCGTTACAAGTAGTAGATTTGTGGAACATGACTTTGATGCTGCATGATTGTTAAAAAAAGGAAGTGGATAAGTACCTGGTTCGAAGGAATTTGGAGCAATTGAATATTGAAATGATCAGGTATTTCATGAAACACAATGGTATGTTGGTTCTGGGCTGGTGGGATTGTCACTTTTGAGGATGGGGCCAAGTTTGAGTTGTGGAAGGCACAAATATTCTACAGTGTTTCACTTTGTTACCTTCGGGGACCAGCCTGCATCTAGACAAAACTATTCCCTCAGGAGTTCGAGTGACTGAGGTGAAATCCTTTGAAGGATTAGATTTTGAGTGATCTGAAGGGGGTCAGCTTGTGGACCAAATGACCTTTTCTTATTCCATGCTTGTTCTTAAATTCTATTCCCATTTTTTAGACTTGCTTGACTGAAGATTACTTATTCTTCCCAACAGTATATTTATATCAAATACAAGATTGATTACTATCTACAAGTTTTGTTGAAACACAATTTCTAGGAAGTTATGTTGGTCTCTTGTTCTGTTACAGCAAGATAATTTGTGGTGGTTGTTTCTGATTAATTAAAAAGTCTGAATAACTATGCTGTAAGTAATTGTTGGGCATTTATTGCTCTTATCTAACTACAACCTTACAGTATTCCAACTTGTGTAGTATAAGCTGTCAAATTGTATCTATTGATCTGACAACTGTATTTGTACTTCATCTGACAATGGCAATATTTTACATCAACTTTTAATGTGCCCTTAAAGTTCTTCAAAGTATTGTTTGTTTGTGGATCTAAAATCCTGAACTAATGAGGTCACATTGCATGTGCTGGTTAGGTTAGTATAGGTTGGGAAATTACATTATCCCCTCCTACGTCACACACACAGGCACACACATGCCTTGAGTGCTAAACCTAACAGCTCATTGAATATCACTCAACCAAAGTTCATGGTTGAAAAAAATTTGTTTTCTGCTTTTGTCCCCAGACTAAAGATGAAACAGCAAAGTATTTCGCGTTGACAATCTCCTTCGGGAAGTTCTGTCGAACCCTTACTCTTTTAGTGCCTGTTCTGATGTCCAATACATGGAGTTGGAGAACACTTCAGATCCTGCATATATTTGTAAACTCCACATGCTAGACAATCTGGGGATCACAAAAGAAATACGGAAATACTGTGCATTCGTCAAGAGTGCTATAGAAACTCAACTTTCAATACAACCTACCTGCCTTACTGAATGTATCAAATTTCAAAACACAACTTGAAAATGTAACACTATTTTATAAATTTGAAGATAAACTTGACTCGGTTTCTGGATCGCTAAGCTCAAAATGTAGGGTTTTGATACGTGTTAAACAATGTGAAGACTGAAGAGATAAAAATTACAAAGTGTTAAATCAATATTTGCTGTACTGACTCCTCAGACAAAGGGAATATGTAAAAATGTACAATTGTGAAAAACATTTTCAATGAAAACCAGCCCAAATCTTGCATTGCATATTAACATGATCAGAAGGAAAACACAAATAAATGTTCTCGGAAAGAAATGAAACTTATATCTTTGAAACACAGTTCATAGGACTATGTTTCTAGGTACCTGGTTAACACTATGTAAATATGTGCATACTTCAAATCTGATCAATATTTGGTATCTTAATTCCTTATGTTTCAAAGTGAATATTGTATATCACTGATCTCTATTAAAATGACTTTTATGATGAATTGGAAATGAATAAGATTTTTCTATACACATTTGATACCAAGAGTTTTTGTAGCTTCAGAAGCTGTAGAGAAACACCATTTTAATTGTTGGTGAGCAGTTTACTGTTTTGCATTATTTTAATAAGCCAGATACATTTCAATAATGTATTTTTATTAAGGTGCTTTTACACCTGGTTGCTTACACTACATTTAATGTCCATGAATCTCAGGAATCCGGTAGATATATTAGTCCCATTTTCTACCAAATTGTGTAACTACTGTTGAAATGAAAGGCATTTTAAAAAAAATCCATCGGTTCTTTTCGGTTGGAGTGCTGTAGTCAATAACATGGAAAATCTGCTTTTTATAGCCTTAAATAAAAATGTCATAATTAGATTGTATATTCCAATCATTTGTTTAAAACACTAATTCTTATACTGATGAGATCTGGCTTGTGGAAATCTGTCTTTAGTACAATGTGGATTAAATGGTATTTTATAGATCAACGCTTTAGTGTCTGACCACGATAGTTAAACTTCCAATCGAGTTACAAATATTGCCCCTCATCTGTGGTAGTCAAAAAAAATGTATAGTGCTGATGATAGTGAGACGTTTGTATGTAAGCAAGCTAGTGCATTGTACCAATTAATAGACTAAGTCTCTAGTGTGATATAAATATTTGGAGTGAAATTTTTTTGATTTGTGAATATGAATGTTATTTATTGTACAAATCGTATTAGTAAAGAGATGCATGCAAACATTGTTTCATCTTTGTGAAGAGTAGGGCACAAATACTGCAACAGTAAAAGGATTGTAATTAGCAACAAAACAAAGCTGCTAGTTTCTTTTCCAATGGCCATTCTGTTGCAATATTTTGTTTACTTCAGAAGTTAATAGAAGTGGTCATTGGTGAAGTAATGCTGTAATGTGGCAGTCGTGTTGCCAACAATAATATTTGATTTTGCAATTTCTTTATAAGTCTTTTCTGGTGGTGGTGTATTTATACACATTTTATAGTTGCTGCCTCAGCATCTGGCATACTTTAAACCCATGGAATTCTACCCTGGCATTCTCATATCCAAATGTCACCGAAGTACATTGATTTAATTTACCATTAAATGTGGCCTTTTTGTCTGCCTTTTCTTCTGTCCAGAAATAGTATCAGTGCATTTTGAGCTTCGTGATGTTTCTGAGTCTTAGGAGCCTTTACTCTGTCTGGAAATGTTGGCAGTCTGCACAATCAAAACAGACAAAGGAAATACTTGGGACAAAGTATCCGTCATGAAGATGTTTCCTGTACTCTTGCAAAAGAAAAGCCAAATCAACTTTATGAAACTTTTATGACTGTTGCAAAAACTGATACGCTACAGTCTAATAGGAACTCTTCACACTTGTTCTATGGGTGCAATAGTTACTTAATTTGATTGAAAAGTGATATCTATAAATAGTGGTTCACTCCAGAAGACTGTTGCCATGTTGCCATTTCATACAGCCCCTACCATGCTCCAGATGAATTTAATGCAACATGCTTCAATGAAAGGTGCTGGAGGATATTCAACAGCACATACAATTTGCTTATTGAACTGCTAAGGTGAAACTGATCCAACGTTCCACATTGGTTCATTGTCTAATGACATGAGCTTGAATTGGACAAGTGTTTTGGATTGACCAGTTCTTTTATTCCAGGCTTACATTTCTCAATTTTAGTGTGTTGAATCTCTGCTTCAGAACTTGAAAAGTATTTAAGCTAATTAAATTTAAAACATATACAAGCTACAATAATATTGTTCCTTCACCAGACAGACAACCAAATGAAATGTAGTCTTTGATATGCCAGTGGATCTGATCGATATCCCTAAGATGTGACAATACTTTTTGTTATTGACTGTTGTTCAGGCTCTTAGTCATTTAATGTGTCTTGCCTATTTTAAAGAAAACAACTGCTTTGGTTAAGATTACACTCTAATGGAATGTTTAAATAGTGCGATTTTCTAGTATTTTAGGATGTCAGTGTGGCTCAGTTGGAATTGCTCCTCCCTCACTTCTGGGTTAAAAGGTTGTGAGCTCAAAGCCCAATATTTCCTTACTCCACCCGCCTAATAACAATCCCTCAAGAAAAAAAAATAACAAATTGGTCGCTTCAATCCACGACTGTTTGTGGGACACTGCTGTGTGCAATTGACTGCCACGTTTCACCCACAAATATACAGTCAATTCACTTTACAGTCTATTCTGTGAAGCGCTTTGAGACATCTAGAAGACGTGAAAAGCGCTATATCAGATGCAAGGATTATTATTATTCTGTAGGTTCCTATATGTGTATTTCAGCCAGATAATTTGACTTGATAAATACCATATAGGGAGAGAAAAAAAGAGAAAGCCCTTTCTCAGCCTGTCTTGAACAACAACTTGCGTTTATATAGTACCCTTCACACGGGATAGCGTCCCAGAGCACTTCACAGTGGCAGAGTCTGACACAGCCAAGGAGAGAGGGAGGTGAGCGTAAGTCTGATCGAAAAGGAAGGTCTTCAGGCGGGGTTTGAAGTGGGGATGTGCGCAAGGTGGAGGGATTGAGGGAGAGAATTCCAGAGTTTGGGGGCATAGTGGCTGAGGGCACAGCCACTGATGGTTGAATGGAGAGCACAAGGGACAAATAAGGCCGGAGTCAGCCAAGCGGAGGCAACGGGTGGTTGAGTGGAGGGTAAGCAGGTCAATTAGGTAGGGAGGTGCGAGGGCACGAAGGGATTTGAAAACCAGTGAGAGGATCTTGACTGGCAAGGACTGGCATGCTGAAGCTATGGAATTTTGTCAGGTAATTATAAGGTGGTGGAGTTTTGAATTGGATTTGTGTATGGTGGAGCTGGAGAGACTAGCGAGCAGGGCTTTAGAATAGTCCAGCTGCGTAGTGTCAAAGGTGTGACGAGGGTTTTAGCTGCGTCGGTTGTGAGGTACGGACAGAGGTGAAACAAAGCGGTCCTGGTCAGGCAACGGACGTGGGGTACAAAGGCAAGCTGAGGATCAAACCTGACACCTACATTGCGCGTGGGTTCAGTGAGTCAGAGCGAGAGGCTGAGGAATTCAGACCTGCAGGAGAGAAGACATTGACGGGAGTCAAAGAATGTGGCTTCCATCTTGCTGATATTCAGTTGCAGGAAAATAGCGTTCATCTAGACCTTGATGTCCATCAAAAAGCTGACAGGACATCAGTGGACTGGGAGTTGCAGCTGCAGGAGAAGTAGATTTGGGTGTCATCTGCAGACATGGAGAAGTTGCGAAACCACATTCCCATGTCTGCCGATAACATTTGCACAAATTAACGGGTTGCAGGTTCAAAATGTAACAGTAGGATTTTACAGGTTAGTTTGTATTTTGAGATTTCAGTACAACATATTCCAAGACCGAAGAATTGAATATTTCTACTGTTCAAAACGAAATATTAGTGGCTCAAGAACAGTTCTGACCTCTTGATAAAGGAATGGTGCACTGGCTAGATTTAATTATTACAAACATTTGAAATGACTTGGATTTTTGAACCATACAAAAATCAATGAATGCTGATTGACAAACATTGGGTTAAGATTTATTATTTAAAGCTGTAGGGTTTTAAGAGGATGTTAACTCTCTCCTTTAATATGTGGTTGACTCTGAGGTAAGACAGTAGACAGATGATGGACAAATCAAAAGGTTAATTTATTAATAAGATGGTTATTAAACAGTTACAAATGTTATGCTTACAAATGCAGGAGATGATTCAGGGCTCAGGATGATCTTGACCTTTCCCTGGGGACTCCCAGAGCAAATTATGCATCAATGTTATTTGTAGTCCTTTGGCTAATTTATTTAGCCCATGGTATCCTACAGTATCCAGCCTATTAACATTCGTTCAGCTCTTTTATACCCCAAAGTTTGGTCTCATGATGACAAAATAAGAAGCCGGAGGCCATTCCACCCAATCAAAGTTCACAGTTTGAAAGTCTAATCATATTCCTGAATTGATTCATCCAATCATTTTTACACACACGGGAGGCCCCAAGGTTATCATGTTTTAACCTTACAGGAATTTGGGATTTTATCTCGAGGCCCCTGATACCAAGTGTGAAAAGTTCATCTTAATTTCCTGTCTTTGACACCTTGAAGTCATAAAGTTCTTTCAAGATCTTCTCCAACCAGACTACCAGGCGTTACATCAATCAGGACTAATATCGCAAGAAAAATCACACAACCCTCCCTTTCCTTTCTAAGATCCTGGAATGAGTGGTTGCTTCCCAGCTTTGCTCCTTCCTCTCCTGCCACTCCCTTCACGAACCCTTCCTATCAGGTTGCTGTGCCGTCCACAGCACAGAAACAGCTTTGATCAAAGTGATGAATTACATTTTGTCCATCTGTGAGCAGGGCTCCCTCTGCCTCTTCATCCTCCTTGACCTCTCTGCTGCCTTCGACACTGTTGACCACCCTATCCTCCTCCACTGTCTCTCCTCTCACCTCAATCTTCATAGTTCTGTCTTTGAATGGTTTAGATCCTACTTCTCACACTGTCTCCACTTCATCTCCATAAACGGCTTCTCCTCCAGCCCCCGCAGCATCTCTTGTGGCGTTCCTCAGGGCTCTGTCCTTGGTCCCCTCCTCTTCAACATCTATATGTTCCCCTCCCTATTGGTGACATCATCCACAGACAATGTCAACTTCCACATGTATGCAGATGACACCAAACGCTATCTCTCTGCCTCCACCCTCAACTCCAGGTCTATTGCTGCCCTGACAGAATGTTTGTCAGACATCAAGTCCTGGATGAGAGCTAACTTTCTTCAGTTGAATATCAACAAAACTGAGGCTCTCCTGATTGGCTCCTGTCAGCGCTTCCACACCTCAGGCACTGACAGCATCACAGGAACCTTGGCATCTTCTTTGACCCTCAACTATCCTTTCTAACCCACATCCATGCCATGACCCACTCAGCCTTCCCACACCCATGCAACATCAATGGCTCTGCCATTGCCTCTCTCCTCCAGCTGCCGAAACCCTCATCCATGTATTCATCACGTCTAGGCTCGACTACGCCAACTCCTTGCTTGTCAGCCTACCCAACTCTTCCCTCCTCAAGCTGCAGATCATCCAGAACTCTGCAGCTCGTGTCCTCTTCCGTACCACGCTCCCTGACCCCATCACCTTCACTCTCGACTGGCTCCCCATCCCTCAGAGGATAGAGTTCAAAATCCTCATCTTTGCCTTCAAGGTCCTCCACGGCCTTGCCCCCTCCTGCCTCTGCAACCTGCTGACCCCACATCAACCTGTCTGTTCCCTCCGCTCAGCAGGCTGTGGCCTGCTTCGCGTCCCCCACCCGGCCCACCCCACCATCAGTGGTCAGGCCTTCAGCCTTTCTGACCCCACCCTATGGAACTCCATCACACATTCCCTTCACCTCTCTCCCTTCTTTACCTCCTTCAAGGTGCGGCTCAAGACCCTCCTCTTCGACCGAGGCTTCAGCCACCCTCCTACCCTCCTTGCCGTCCACTCTCCACGATTCCTGACCCTCCAGTTTAGGTCCAAATCCCTGACTGTCCAGCACCTTGGGACATCCTCTCGACATGAAAGGCGCTATACAAATAAGACTAACAAACAAACAAACAATCAAACACATTTCTGCCTTCGTGAATGTTGAACCATCCAAGACCCTTTTAGTCTTTTTAGTTGATTGTAAAGTCTTTCTTTATAAATACAATCTTCATTTTGTTTACTTGAGGTAGACTGTTAAGTACCAGCTTTCCAAATAAAGAAGGAATAACATCTGTCCATTAAGTTTTCACCAAACATGTGACAGAATCCAGGGAC